ATATATATATATATATATATATATATTTGTATATATATAAAAGTAAGAGTGCTCTAGATGACAGAGCTCGACTAGGAGATACCCTGAACCCAGCTGCTTGCCAATCATAAATCTGAGATGAAAAAAACCAAGCGCACTCTTGTTGTACTTTTGTGTTTGTCTAGCTCGATTTGGGTCTTGATTGAGAATATATATAACTTGTGGGATCGGAGAAGCCTTCTGTTCTTCCGTCCTGGTTTGTTACATAGTTTTGTACAATTTCGTTAGCCCTTTTCACCTAATTTAATGGATTTCAGGGTATAAAAAACAACAAACAGACAATTTTGGAAGTAGCTTTAACTTTGTCGCCGCGTTACGTCTCTGAAAGGGATGGGGGGGGGGGGGAATGGGTGGGGCAACGAAAGAGTTTTGGGCAACACCCAACGAATCGAAATGCAATTTGCTTTGAGTGCACATAAAAGTCACAAAAGCAAATTTAGCTATAATATAGCGGGGAAAACGGGCTTAGGTATGGGGTTAGAGGTCTGAGCTTTTTCAGCTACGAGTTGGTCACTAAATGTTTGGCAATCAAAGGCTTAGCACAGCCGCAACGAACGTGCGTAATTTGGCAATTGTAATCCCGCCCCTGCCGCCAAACTAAGAAGACCCCGCACTAAGCTTAGATATCAGCCAGCCACAAAACTTGTCGGTATATTGACAGACAATCAACCACTTGAAAAAGCATATGGCTAAATCAAAGCCACAAGCCAAGTTATCACAGCTTTTCATTATGAGGCATTTAAGCAAACCCCAACCCCCTCCACCAAAGATTGAGAAACCCAAAATCCGAATTCGAATCCGAATCAGAAACCGAAGCGAACCGCGCACCCTTGCGGTCGCCTTCAGGGGTTGATAGCTAACGGACTTGATGCTTTTTTTCCTATTTTAAATACCCTGTTGCCATAATATAATCATGTGGTCGAACGGGTTGGACGTCGAACTATGGCCATATAATAATATAACACAAAACAAATACAACTGCGATTAAATGTATTAAAATATTTCTTACAATTTATGATGACAAATAGAGAAAATAATGCATTTATCCGAGCACTTTTACAGGATATTTATAGGATATATGTATGTTCGAGTCGGATACTCTCAGTTGGAATATTCTTATTGGTTTCAGTTTTGTTTTTTTTTTGTTTTTATGTTTTTTTTTTGTATTTCTTTGCTTGTCTCTCCTAAATTAAATTAGATGCTTAATATGCAGCGAACGTTTCATTTGTTTTGCGGCTAGAAAATCAACGTGGAAAATTAAGCAAACAAACAAGCGGCCAAACGGTAGCTGGAGACCGAATTGGGTTTCGGCTCTTGCTATTGCCTTCCATCGGGGGAATGTGGCAATTGAAATGGGCAATGGGCAATGGGCAATGGGCAACGGGCAACGGGCAATGGGCAATGGACACTGGAGATTGGTAGCAAATGCCCATGGCCAGCCAGCGGCTGTCTCTCAGTTAGAAACACGAATTGGACCCGCCCACAGCTTAACCTCTAATGAGGCGCATTACTTTTGTTTGGCCGCCGCAACGCATGAGGGAGAGCAGAGCAAGATGCTGCCGGGCCAAAGGCAGAGATTTGAAATCATTATCCCGTTGAAACTAATCTTATTTGTGTGCGGCTTTGTCTTATTCCACTCCAGTTTTTGGGGGTTTTTTTTTTTTTTTTTTTTTGTTTTTTGTTAATTTAATGTAAACATTCGATACTTTTCAGCTAGCTCACCAGCGGCAAATAAGTATATAAATAAATATTAACATTGTCTCTCGAGTTACATTGAATTCCAAATTATCTTGCTCGCAGCCCAAATTGTACATGTCTATTTGATATACGACATTCAATTTGCAATTGCAATCGAAAAATTGGAATTCCCATAAGGTACATGGCATGTGCATGGGAATCTTAATCTTTGCCCGTCCCGAAATCCAATCAATTTGCAATGTTGATTACTGGGAAGGTTGGTGAACATCCTCAAGTGATCCCATCGCTAAGCCCACCAGCAACTATTGCCAGTTATGACTTGAGCCTCACACCTCGGGCCTGGCTCCTTAATAGTCTTGGCACTTGGTAATGAGCATCTTTTATGGTGTTCCATCCACGACTTATGGTGGTAAGCTAGGATTCAGACACATTCATTAAAGCAACTGAGCTCCTTGCAGAAAGCTCAGCAACATTACCAGGTTAAGATAAATGATGTCGATAGCGATACAATTTCTGCATATTATTATATTAAGACAAGGTTTTACGGACTATAATTAATAAAATAAAATATATATATTAAAAAAAAAAGAGTGGGGAGTCTCCCCTGCTGTTGTACCATTTGCCAGTTGGTTGACACTCAGCAAGCCAATGGCCAGAAAGATGTTGAGCAAATGCCATGGTCAGTCAGACCTGTGAGCAATAACTAACTCGAACTTTTGTTTAGGTTGCATTTTGAAAGTCAGCAGCTGGCCGCAAATTGACCTTAGCCATAGTCCGTGCCCAGCTTGGTTGCTGGTTGGCCAGTCATATGCAAATTTGTTGATTGCTCCAGCTCCAGCTACAGTTCCAAAAGCAGCAGCCAGCTATGTTCGACTGGTCAACCACAAGACGAAATGCGGTAGAAAACCACACAATAAATGGGCATAAATTACAAAACATGATGAAGCACCCAATGGGAAGCGGACCCAAAGCCAGACCCAAAGCCAGACCCAAAGCCAGACCCAGACCCAGACCCAGACGCAGACTTGGTTAAGGATATGAGCTGTGATTGTGATGTGCGCAGTTGCAGAAATTGATAATTTTCTTGGACTTGCGACACTGAGTCGGACTCGGACTCGGACTCAGACTCAGACTCAGACTCGGACTGGGACTCAGTGACTGACTGACTGACTGTGTGGCGCCATCGAGTGCGGCGTTGCCACTTGAATTTTTGATTTAACAAAAGTCTCATTTGTAAAACGGTCAAAACTTTTGGCGAGCAACAGCCGCTGCTGCAGCACCAACTACCACAAAATTCAAATGCGACTTGCAACAAATCAAGCAACCAGCAAGTGAGCAACCTCTATGCGAGTGCAACCTCGACTTGCAGACAACCTGTAATCCAATTCCCCAAATTAGCCCACTGCTGATCGATCGAAAATACTTTTTTGATTAACATTGAGTTACATTTATGGTTGAAAATCTGGGTAAATAATTTGAGGAAACTTTTATTTGCTATGCTTTGTACAAATGTGAATAAATTGAAGATATATGTATATTACTTCATTATACCCATTTGATCGATTCTAAATAGATGCAGGGTATTAAAAAAGCATACTGGCTGGTGGGCGAGAGGGTGGCAAGGCAAAAATAGTAGGCTGCTGTTGCTGTTGCTGAAAACCGAAGCAGAGGCCGCAAACTTTTGCACAACAACTGGGCAACAATAATAATGTCACGTTTATCGTGTGCAGCTAATTACTAACAAAAAGATAGTTTGTAATCCTACACAGAGCCCCCAGTTATCCAGCCAGCTAGCCAGTCAGGCAGAGTCGGGCTGAGTCGGGCAGAGTCAGGCAGTTGGCCGCGCCGAAAGATCCAGCCGAGCGTGTCCAAAAGTGCCCCTAGGACAACCAAACAACCAAATAACAACAAAAACAACAACAATGATAATGTTGTTGTTGTTGTTGCTGTTGTTGATGAGGACCAGTAGCTGTTTGTCCGTTTTGTTTGTTTGTTTCTTGTTGTTGGTTAGTTTTGCTAAACTTCTTGGCCCAATACATGTGCACAAATCTTTGGCAACGAGTTTGCTGCGCATTAGCACACGCCTGAATTTCTTGGCTAAACCCAACAATAACAACAACAACAACAACAGCAACAACAACTGCCAACTAAGTTAATGCAAATTTAGCCACACCCACTCGAAGAAGGGCGGCCGAAAAGTTTTTGCATATTGGCCAACAGCTGCGCCGGCTAATAGTTGCAGCACCCGAACCCCAACCCTCCAACCCTCCAACCCACAGCCACCGTTAGAAGTTGCTATTGTTGCCAGCTTGTTGGCCAAGTTTGTAGTTTTGGCCAATGCAAAGTTGTACAGCGCAAGCCGCATTAGGCGCATTACACTTGCCACAGCCTGTGGCCATTACACCCAACCAAAATGTTAGTCACCTTTCCTTCTTTTTTTTTATAAACTGTTCATTTATTTGTATATAAATATATATATATAGATAGATATATATAGATATATATATATATATATATATATATAGATATATATATATATATATATGTATATATATATATATGTATGTACGGTAGCAAATATATAAAGTTCAACGATAGTACACAAAAAATGCGTATAAATATGTTAGATGTATTATGCATGGATATATATATATATATATATATATGTGATGTGTCTTAAATGATTGCCCAGCACTGGGTAAGAGTAACAAATCTAATTCATATAAGGCATGGAGTTCTTCGATGATTATGAATCTGGCAAGAACCGATTTGGATTATTCCTCGAGCAATCAATTTAGTAGGCACAACAAGAAAATGTGCGCTTAATTCTGGCGATTAGTGTTCATATTAACAAAGTGCTGAGCTTGAGGAACATTTTGAAATCCAAAACGATTTTCAAATATATATATATTTGTTATTTGTTTTGTTAATTGCAGTATTTTCTTAGCCAGGAACTGTGGTAAATTTTGAAAGTGTAACCAAAATTGTTTTGGCAGCGCTTGAACAACAATTTGATTGAACTTTAATATATATTATATACCATATAATTGACACGACAAAACCAAATACATCCAACAATAATAAATATATCGACAACTAATATCGGAGAAACACTCGATCAGAGCAGTATTTATGAGCAACAAAAAAATAACATAATCGCATCTCTCATTCGAACAGACTCTCGTCTGCTCGCTCATTCGCTCACTCGCCGATCTTTATATATATATATATATATATAAATGTATATATATACACATTTATAGATATATATATATATATTTCTATATAGTGTTATAGGACTAATATCGCTTTGCAATTGAGACTCGAGAAAAGGTCGAGCGAACGAACCGAATCGAAAGAAAACGCAACGAAATCAACTCAAATCAAATCAAATCTAAGGGAAACAGCGCAATGACGAACATTTTCGGTTGGCTGTGGGGCGACGGATGGGTTGGGTTGGGTTCACTGGCGCGTCATCGTCAGATTTGAGTTGAACGAGAGCAGATCTGCCTGGTCGGGTTTGTCGCGCGTCGCATGGTAGGCCGCGCGTTCGCGATCCGGGAACTTGGTGGGCAGGTTGGGCGAGTGCAGGTTAACCTTGGCCTCGAACCGCACGCCGGCCACCTCCACCTCGTAGTGCCCGGACAGCACGTACTCGTTGCTCACGGCCAGCTCGTGGCCCTGCTCATCAATGTTGCGCACAAATCCCAAGCAGACCTGCTTCTCGAACGTATATCCATATCCGGTTGTTGTCGTCATGCCCACATAAACGCCATCCCGATAGATGGGCTCTCCGCCCCAACACCACGTGTCCACCTCATGATCATGATCGTTGAGCAACAACTGCACATACATCCGCTTCACGCCCTCCTCTCGCTGCATCAGAAGCGCTTTACGTCCAATAAAGTCAATCGGTTTCTGCAAACGATTAAGACCCAAAGGCCCAAAAAGGATTAGCTTCTGCTGCGGATCGCAACAATAACAACAAAATCGTCGCTTACATTGAGTTTAACCCGCCAACTGCGTCCGCACTCCATCGGCGTGGTGAACGTGTCCAAATCCTGACCCCAGAACGCATAGAACTTCTCAATGCGCAACGCCCTTGTTGCATAGTAACCTGTCCATAAGCCGGATTATGTGAATCACGTGGCACGCGGAAGAGAACGGACGACGAGACTCACCTGCATGCTGTATTTGAAACTTCTGACCAGCCTGATGCAGTCGCGAATAGACATGCAGCGCATACTCATTGGGTATATACATAACATAGCCCAGTTCGCCGGTGTGCGTGATGTTTAGCACACGGATGCCATCGGCCAGGCCCACATCGAGTTCCTGTTGAACGGAGGATTACTATAATCGAAGCACTGCAAGGGAATCTTCGCCACTGTGGCTCGCTCACCTTGTACGTAAAGAAGGGAAAGCTCTGCGGTGTTAGATCTGTGTCTGTCAGCTCCGAGAGTAAAATTCGCGAATAGGGGCCCAGTATACAAATGGCAGTGTACATGGAGGTCACATCAGCCACATTGACCTTGGCGCGCAGATGATCCGGCGTCTGTTTGTGTATCCAGCTCATCGAGCGCGTCTGCTGTATGGTTGGCGCAATCATCATATAGCTGCAAAGCAAAATACCCCAATATAGATTAGATCATCTACTGCTACTCCTCCTCGTCGTCGTCGCTCACTCACTGTCGATCCGATAGACGTGCCAGGGAGCAGTCGTTCTCATAGCCACCGTTGTGATTCTGCATACCGGTGTGGATAATTGAGCCAACGGCGACATCCACATCGTTGGAGCAGAGATACTGCAACAGGTCGACAACCTCGTTGCCCTTCGACCACAAATCGTACTTGGTAAAGGAACTGTAGTCGGCAATCCCGATGCGTTCGCGACAGGCACGATACTCGGTGGCCACATGATCGAACCACGGCGGCTTGCCAAACGTGCGCGTCTGTGAGATGCGAAAGCGCGGCAATCCAAACTCATCTGTGGACGGTGATTAGCGGATTAGTTGAAATGTTATCAAAAGGTTTCTGCTTATTAGATAAAAATGCGCACCTTGCTTATCATTTGGATCAAAGTAGTTGGGTCTTTCGTAGCCCATCGACTGGCCGAAGACGGCGCCCGCTTCCTGCAGCTGCGGATAGATGGGCGACATGCGCAGATTGCGACCGGTTTGGAACTCCTCGAATGGATAGTTGATCTCAAAGTGTTTGCCGGGTGCCTCCTTGCAGCGATCGCGCAGAAATTTGCGATTGTTGTGCAGACCGAGGAAACGACTGATGTCCAGGATGTGCAGATCCAGATACGTTGAGCCTTTCGTGATGAGATCGGTGAGTACGCGACCGATGCCACCAGAGGCGGACACGCCCATCGTCTTGTTGCCGGCGGCCACATAATAGTTTTGTATCTCTGGCGCCTCGCCCAATATCCACTTGCAGTCCGGGGAGAACACTTGCAGCGAATTGGTTAGCCGGTCCAGCGATGCCTCACGGAACGATGGCACACGCTGCAGCAGCTCATCGAGCAGCTCGTGAAAGTGATCCCAGTCGGGCGGATATTGTCGCGCCTCCTGCGACAGCGGTATGACGCCGTCCTCGTAGACCATCTTCGCCTCACGCTCATAGCCACCAGCCAGGATGTGGCCCTCGCACTCCCGAAAGAAGATGCGTCCGTCAAAGTCGCGCACAAACGGCGTATTCGGATCCAGGTTGGCAATCGGCTTCGTATGCAGATAATGATGCTCGACAGCCTTGAGTGGCACTTTAACCACCGGCTTGGACAGTGTGCCCACCTCGCGCGCCCAGAAGCCGGTGCAGTTCACAAAGTACTCGCAGTTAACGTCGCCGGCGGTGGTGTCAACGCGCGACACCTTGCCACCGGCGCTGTGTATCTTCTTGACGGCACAGTGTTGCACAATGCGCACGCCAAGTCGGCGTGCCTCCTCGAGGAATGCGTTGCAGACGAGGTGCGGATCACAGACACCATCCTCGGGTATCCAGAGGCCACCCTCGATGCCGTCCACCGAGAGCAGCGAACAGTGCTGCTGGCACTGTTCCGGCGTGAGGATCTCACAGTTCATGCCCCAGGCCACTGCCAGTGATTTCATGCGATGAAAGGAGGTCATGCGATCAAAGGAGCGTGCCAGATTCAGGCTACCCACTGGCCGCCAGCCGGTGGGCAATCCCCGTTCCGTCAGCTGCTTAATTAGATCAATTGAGTACTCCGCCAGCTTCAGTTCGGTGTAGCTGGGCTCGAAGCGACCGGCCAGGCCGCAGGCGCTCCACGGTAGCTCGCCGCCAACGCCATCCTGTTCAATTAGCAGCGTCTCGCCGCCCCAGCCATGCAGGCCCAGATGGTAGGCGACAGAGGCGCCCGTAATGCCGCCGCCACAGATGACCACACGAGCCTGTCCCGGCAGCTGTCCGGCCAGCTGCCCATTCAGATCGTCGGCATGATGCGGCTGAAATTTGCGTTTACTCAACACCTGCTCGTCGGATGGACTTGTCGCTCCGCTCAGCAGGCGGCGACCCAGTTGCTGGATAAATATTGGATTAGCGTTAGCTCCGCTGCTGGCGGCATGTTGGCAACATGCAACGCCACGGAGTAACTTGTGCATCGTTCTTTGTTATTGCTACTGTTATATTGATCTTGTTATTATTGTCTCGTGCCGCACGTATTGAACTAAGCGGAGGCAGCTACCGATAACATATCGTCGCGCCACCACAAACAGCTGCTACGAGGGCTGCAGCAGCATTCGACATTGCATTGACATCGATATACTCACTGCATGGTCTTTTGTCGAACAGAAATTTGCAGATAGCTTTTTGTGGATGACTAATCCAAATTAGGATGGGCGCCATCTGTCGATTTCGATTACGAACAACGCTATCTGTCCTTATTAGCGTCATCTACCGAGTACGAGAGAGCGCTGGCAACGCCACTTATCGGGCGACTACAGAGACGACAATGCAGAGCAGAACGAAGAAGAAGAAGTGTTATTTACCACAAAGTCCAATTCGAAGAAGGCGAATGAAAAATAGGCTGCGGAAATTTCACCCAACAAAGATATTCGGGAAGATAAATGTAGAATGCAAAGGTAGAATAAATGGTCCAAGATCGTACCCCTGAAGTCACAACTTATTTCCAATAATAATAACAGAAATCTACTGCTACAAAAGTTATACTTCTGAATTAAGATTGACATACAGTGTCTCACAGTTCAACTGGAACAGCGCCTAGCAAAAAATTTAAAGTGCTAAACATAAAAGCAAACGCGAAATGTTTAAATGCCAATTTGTTTTATGTTATATCACGTTTGAAAAGGAAACTTTAGTTTTTATTAAAATATTAATTAATTAACTAAAATTAGTCAAAACTTAAAACATATCCAAAATACATGTCAAAGTTTTTTTTGGAACAGTCTTAGAAAAGTAACTTATTAGGCGTATAAAAACTTAAATAAGGATGTCAATGCTTAGTATGATATGCTTTAGCCTTAATAACTCCCCTTAACCTATTATTCATGGAAGATACCAGCGTCCGGGTGGTTTCTGGACTGATTTCGCTCCCCTCATCCAGCAGAGCATTTTTGAGATCGGATCTGTGATTCCGGATGTTATTTTCCAGCAGAGCCCACAAATTTTAAATAACATTTAAATCTGGAGATTGGGCCTGTGGAATTATCATGTGGGGGCAGTTCCAGATATGCCAGGACTGTACTAATCCGGACTTATGCTTGGTTGTTGTCCTGGTCGTGGTCCTGGTGGAACCGGAAAGTACGTGGGATTCCTAGCTTCTCGGCACTTTGGAGTAAATTTTCCTTAAATATATTGAAATACACATTCTTGTCCATTGTTGTGTCAATGAACACCAAATTTCCGACGCCGGCTGCCGAGATATATGCCCATTCCATAACACTTCCTCCGCCGTGCCTGACTGTTGCCTTTAGGTGTTTCGGATTCATTTCAGTATTGGGCTGTCGCCACACGTAATTCCGTCCGTCCGAGCCAAAAAAGTTGAATTTGGACTCATCTGCAAATATGAATGTGTTCCAGAACTCCAAATCCTTGTCCAGGTGGGTTTTGACGAATGCCATCCTAGTCCCTTTATTTTTTGCGCTTATAAAGGGCTTCTTCCGTGGTACTCGGGCATTAAAGTCATGGTTGCGCAGAACCCGACGCACAGTTTCCACACTGCACTTTTTCCCCATTTCATCCTGCACCTGTTGCGTCAGTTTTGGAGCCGATAGCTTGGGATTTTCCCTTATTTTCCTGATGATCCTCCGCTCCTCCTGTTCGGTGAAAATCTTGTGTGGTGCCTTTCTGCCCTTGTTCTCTATCCGATTTTCGTCGACGAAGCGACGAATGATGTTAAATACAGTTGATTTACTTAGATTTACCATTTCAGCTATTTGGCGATGTGAATATCCGATCTTGAAGTGTTCCAGGATCAGTTTCCGCTGTTCAATGGTAGTCCGCTTGCCCATAGTGCCTGTTGGCTGTTGGTAGCACCCGACATGCAGCATATAACTAAACTGACTACGAAGTATTGGTCTATTTTATACCGAAAATAATCAACCTGACGTAAAAAAATCCGGGTTTTATGGCACCCAGGTGTCCATAACGCCATCGTTCAAAATAATATGTGACCATAAATTAAGGTACTTTTTTTTACATAACCCGACCTAGCAGGTGGGGAAACCCCAGTTTATGGGGGTCATATAATCATTTAGGTGGTTAATATATGTACCTGCAATTTTTGAAAAATATTGGATAATTAGTTTATGGCAGGCAATTAAATTTTTTGCTAGGCGCTGTTCCCAAATTTAAAACTCCGGCCAAATTGTAGTTCCAGCCAGAATCGGATTATACAAATGATTTGTTGAGGTTTGTTGTTTTTTTGTTTTGTTTTACATTTTTATTGTTTAATTTAAAAACGCTTTGTTTGGTTTTCCACAATAGTTTTTTAAAAAAAATGTTTTTTTTTTTTAAATAAAAATAAAGAAGAAAATTATAGTTTATACATATTATAATATATTTTTTCCTTTTTTTTCACTTGTGTTTCCGTTTTTTTGTTTTTTTTTTGTTTTGTAATAATAATTAAAAATATTGTTTTTCCTTTTGTTTTTTTTCTTCTTTCTTTCTTTTGCAAGTTAATTTAAGAAACAATTAATCAAATTCTTATTTAATTATACAAATTTAAAAAAAAAATAGTAATTATATAGTAATAAAAATAATATTATAACGGCGAAATGCAATAGCGTGTGTGTGTAGTTTTTGTTTTGTTTATTTCTAATATATTTGTTGTTTCTCTCTTTTCGATGCGCGCACAAAATGAACAAAGAAAATGTTTTGGGTTTTGCGGACGGGAAGCGTGTGAGTTGTGTAATTAACAAGATTTGCGACCATTTTACCATTGACAAAATTGATAATTGATGGGTAGACTGATCGAGATGTGGTGGCTGGTAAGGTAAGGGAAGGTAAGTTAAGTTAAGTTAATGTGGGTAAGAAGGGGCTACTAGAAGGGAGAGCGGGTGCGTTGTTTAACACTGTCTACAAAGCATTAGCGAATCTTTCTATTATTTGTATTATTATTATTTGTAACTAACGATGCGCTTTCTCTCCTTAAGTCCACACTGACAAAATGAAAATAGATCTGCCAAATTCTTAATCTGCATTTAAATTGGATAGTTGTCTGTTTGATTGGGAACGAGGGTGGAGGGTGGAGGGTGTAGGGTGGAGTGGGGCTGGTCAGTTTGTGTTGAGCGCGCTGTGTCGCGTGGTGGAAGGGGGAATAGAGAATGGGGCGTGGTCAAACGCTTTACATGTTCTCAAACTGATCGACGCGACGCTTTGTGTTGCCCTTGCGGATCTCACGGAGCGTCTTGTACTTGTCACGACCTTGGCGCACATTTTCGCGATGAATCTTGTCGTTTGCCGTCTCTTTCGTCTCGTCGCGTGACTGCGCCAGATCTTGCTTCAGGGCCTGCAAAAGAGCGAGACAAAAATATGATATAAATATATAAAATGAGTTTGACTTGAAATGCAGATCGAATGCGATTTCAATAAGACTAAAATGTTTCACAAATCGTCTTTGCTTGAGTTGATACTACATTATACATCTATTTGGTTGATCCGCGCTATGGAACATGGACATCATCTTAAGGATCTTGCTTGCAATCTGAACAAATACTTTAGCATTAGATGTAACTATAATTGAAGGCGATCCTTGAATAATTTTTGCCTATACATCTCTATTGGCCAGAGCTAAATTCGAACCGTTTGTATTTGTCGACCTGAATCTATACGTTTTTTTTATATCAGCTATGACTATGACTGTACTGGGTATTTTGAAAACTCTAAAAATCATATGATAAGAGACAAGAGATAAGCGAACTGTTTACCGCCGCCGTAAACATTTACATAAACCGCCCAAATATAGCCCCCAATCCTTATCAACGTAGAAAAACAAATTTATCTAAGAGGTTATCTTCTTCTGTCGTGTCGGATCACATAATATTGTATAATAGAATCCAATCCCCCTGCCTCGCAACTTGTTGGTTTTTTTTTGATTGGGTTTGCTGCTGTTTTGAACGCACCTTGAGCTGATCGTGCAAGCGCTCGTTGCGCTCGGCCAGCGTGCGTCTGTCCTCGATGGGATCCTTGATATGCTCGTCTGTGTCCAGGTCGCGGGACACATCGCCGCCGGCATCGCCATTCGTCAACTCCTCCTCGTTCTCGTTCTCATCCTCGGCAACGTGATGATGTTGCGGCGTGGTGGATGCAGCCAGCAGTGCAGCAGCAGCCTCGGCCTAAACAAAACGTAATCAGATAATTGTTAAGATAAGCGACAAAGGCGAGTTGGATTATTGGAGGTGATGGGAGAATGTGATTAAAGTGGTTACCTGCTTGCGGCGTGCCTCCTCGACCTCGTCTTGTAGGCGCTTGGTCTCCTCGTCCTTGGCATTGACCTCGTCCTGAATGCGCTGCACCTCCTGCTGCTTGGCCATGATCTCCTCTTCCAGTTTGGCCTTCTCAACGGCCTCCATGTTCTTGGCCTCCTCGAGGCGCTGCAGCATAGACTGCAGCTCCTTCTGGCGCAGCTCGAGCTCATCCTTGGCGGCCTGCAGCTGCTTCAGCTGCTCCTCCAATCGTCGGATCATCTCTTGCGCTTCGAGCAGATCACGCTGCGAACGCTCCATCTCCTCCTGCATTTGCTTCAGCCGATCCTCATACTCCTGCTGCTTCTTTTCGGCGCGTTCGCGTGCTGCCAGTGCCAGCTGCAGCTTCTCGCTGCCAATCACCAATAAGAACAAATTACACATATATAAAATGATGACATTTAGGACAAATGATGATGTATGGCAATGGACGACTTACCGCTCCTGCTGTTTGGCATTCTTCTCTTCGCGCGCCTGCGCCTTCATCTGCTGCACATCGATCGTGTCGGGCTTGCGACGACGCATGTAGAGCTCATGGTTGCCCATGCAGAGGGCCAGGATGCGCTTGTTGATGCGAACGCGCGGCGCAAAGAACATAAAGTCGGGTGCCTTCTTATCGATCGGTTTGATGATGAACTTCTTCTCCGAAAATGAAATGTTACGTATCTCTGACCAGGGGAAGCCAATTTTTGGCGTTAATCGATCGTCCTGCTCATAAATGTTGAGGCCGAGCGCATCGACGCCCAACCACAGATCGGTGCCCTTTTTGTTGCGTATTTCGAAATAGTTAACGCCATACATTTCCAGATCCTGGGCAATCTTCAGATACTCCATCATTGCATCCTCGCGCAACATGCTGCGATGCTCCTGCCACCAAGTCATTATCGATTGCTCCCACTCATCCTTGGACATCTTATGCTGATCGATGACGCGCTGTGGCAATAGGCGATCGTTCGCTAGGAAACCGGCTGTGTGGGTGCTTTTATTGTGATCACCGTGGCGCGCCTGTACCGCATAGGAGGCCAGCAGGACCGACGTTTCCGGCGGGCAATAGATCTCATCGGTCAATATGGCATTCTTCACTTGTAGATAGAACAGGCGCAGTGTGATGTCCTGTATCAGCTCCTCGGCCACATCCTCCGGATAGAATTTGGCACGGAATCTGAATTGCAAAGGATTCTCCTTTTTGACATCCTGATTCATCACCTAAACACAACAACAACAACAACAATTGTATTAGTATACAACAACAAATAACAAATGATTCTCATTAAAAATCCTTCAAAATAAATATATAGATAGATATATATTGCCCAATTGGGTTACCCATGTCGAGAACGGCATTGATCCAGTCTGTGCATTTTTGTGTGTGTTGTATTCAGTTGAAACGGTGCAAAGTGCGCAGCATGTTTGTTAATGAAGAATATTTATATTTATATTTATTTATTTAGTTTCATGTAAAACATTTTCAATTCTCAATTCAATTAGCTAGTTTGACAATCAATAAACTGGGATTGGGACTGGACTGGGCATGCATGCAAAAGTGAACTAAATAAGAAGATTACGACTCTACTTAAAGTGGACTCGGCACAATTTGTTAGCGATTAATTAAGTCAATGTTGGCTGTTTATTTGTGGAACCAACAACGAGATGTTGGCCAACTATAAACAAAACATAATTATACTTAAAGTAAAAGCAAATGTTCTCTACAAACAATTGTTCTCGCATTTAGCAATCTTTACAGATTTATGACCAATCGCTGACTCATTTCTAGTTTAACTCTTGAGACAAAGCCATGAGTGAGTAACATATTTTATATATATATATATATATCTAACAACATTGTTTTCTATTTCGTAGCGTGGCTTGGTTTTTTGGCAATAGGGGGTGGGGGGGAAGAAACATCATTGTATTGTTTGTATTTGGTTCGTTTCGCCCACCATATCGTCAGCGTCATCATCCTCCTCGCTCTCATCCGTCTGGGTGTGTCCATTGCCATCAGCTGTCTTTTTGTCCACATATTTCTTAACACGTTTCAAATATTTGATCGTTCTTATGGCCGGCGATTCGGGCTAAACATAAATGCGTAACACCTTTAATACTCGCTACACCGAACAACATACTTAAGTTTATCCCAATGGAAATAGTTAATGTCGACAATAATGATTTGTTTATGTATTTATTGCGATTCGCTCACCTTTTTGTATAGCTTAATCCATGTGGAGTCGCCCTTGGAGTCCGTGTACTGCAGACCAAAGAACCAAACCTCACGCAGTCCAATCGTCTTGACCACCTGATCGAACAGTTGTTTGCCAGTCGTTGTCGACTGAATGGCGAACTCCAGTTCGGCGTCCATTGTCGTGACGCGCACATTTAGCTGCAAGGACACGCAAAGATTGCAACATATTGTAGTATATACGTATATCGGTGAATCATCTTAAATCTACAGAGTTGAATTGATATTGAAACAGACAGCAGACAACTGCAACAACTCCAACCCCTGATCTGATCTGCCATCACTAACCGATCCTGTCCGACTGTTGGCAAACTAAAGCTTTACTATTTGAATAACTTTTGATTGAGAAATGGGCTCATCATCCAACCCATCTGTTAAATATATATTGTGTGTGTCAATGTGTCAAATGTGTTCATTCTGTAAAACAATAAATAGTTTCTCAATTCTGATTGAGCATTTCGATAGCATAAAAAGCTATAAATTCGGACTTGTCAATTTATTTTTGACACAGACTAAAATTAAACCAGTTGAGCGATAAGTGCATAAAAAGCTATAAATTAACATGTAAAATTTTTGACATAGGCATAAACAAATCTACCAAATCTCTGATAGGCCTGATCTTGAGTAACAACAAAGAAACCTTTCAATTAGTAAATGGCAAATTTTGAATTTATTGTAGTTGACATTGCTAATGTCGACCAATCGAGGACAATAGCAAAAGGATACTTTCACGGAATGGAGATAAGTATAGAGATAGTTTTCAAATGATCGATTGAATAGAAATGGCAGGCAGGCAGGCAGGCAGAGTCAAGCTCGTTCACATTATTAGCTTGTGTAATCCCACCTGACTGGTGGGATACCACCATATACACTCCACTCCTCGCCCTTGCTTTGATAATTGACAACGCATCGCCCACGCGCTAACCAAATTGATTAACTTGATGGTTGATGGTTGTCGTTCTCTTTCGTTGAGCGCCCATGTGACAGTGTTGGGGGGGAGGAGCTTGTATAACCATCATTGCAATCGTTTCCCCCTTTCACCCTCTATCAATTTGCTATCTATGCGATTCTTCGTGTTGTTGTTGTTGTCATGGTTGATTACTTATTGCCGGTTTTTTCGAGCGTGCTTTTCCAAAACTGTTTTTCCCAGTCGGTTGTACGGCGACTCGGAAAAAGCAGACACGTGCACTCCTCACATGTTTCCCCACTTTTACTCGTACATACACAGATCTCTATATATATATATATATATATATATATATGTTTATATATATCCACCTTTGACAGTTACCGCTCACATCGCTCTAATCATAGTGTGACAGTAATTTTGCTTGTTTATCAAAGTGTTTCAGGGATCAAGCAATCGATTTGTTTGTCACTGTTCTAGTTTAATATCGATAAGTTTGCTGATTGTGATCTTATGCAGACAAATGAACATCGATAACATTGTTGTCTTTCTTTAGCTTTTGCTTCGATTGGGGATTGGGGGACAATAATGATTACTATAAAGTTTTCTATGACCTGCAAAAATGGACAGCAACTTGCACAGTTGTCATGAACTAAAAACAAAACAAATAACAAAAAACCAAATGAGTCATAATTGGGTTTAAGCTTGCTACGCGTTTTCTAGATGGTTCCAGTTCTCGTCTCCCATTTTAACTACTTTTTTTTTTTGTTTTGCATTTGTTGTTTTGTCGGCGAACGTTAAGTTAACGTGTTGTGTTGTAGTTATTGTTATAACTGTTACTTATCTCGTTTTACTTTTTGCTTTTCTGTATCTCTCTCTCCCTCTCTGTCTCTTTCGCTCTCGTTGGTATTTTTCGCAATGCAAATCAAACGTGACACAATGCAAGGAAATTGAAAACGTTCATTTCAATCCAATTAACGTTTGTGGGTTAATGCATGTTGTTGTTGCTGTTATTGTTATTGTTGTTGTTGTTCCTGTTGTTGTTGTTATGTGTAGTGCATGAATACGTGCATACAAGCATGGCTCGCTCATTGGCCCCAGTGCATCATGTGAATGTGGCAACGGAAACAGTCGCATAACCAACCAGTAGTTGACGACTCTGCTTTATGCTCCAACTTTTACCCCCCGCCTCTCCCCTTATTGTCTTTACTCCCTCTTGTCCCCTTTTGTGCTTTACTCGCGACGATTTGTCACATTTTGATAGGCTGCTGCAGCATGACAAATTGCTCGTTGCTATGCGCAAATGTTGGCCTACGATAAGCTGCATGTTATACGTAGTTTTTGGTGAAGCCGGAAACCATAAAACAACCATAAAAAAAATAAAAATAAAAACAAGAAAATATTGCAATTGTCGGAAATAGCCAGTCAGGAAAATTGTGAATTATTCAATATACTTGTATAAAACTATCAGAGATTATGGGCAAACTCTTATATAACTCCCCGATTTGAAAACGTTGAATATGTTGTCAATTTTGGCGGCAGTCGAAAGAAATTCGATTATAATTGCACATAAACCAGTTTCACATTGTTTTTGGCGAATAATCCCATTTGTGTGCCACATTTTAATTGAATTATGCATTTAATGAGTACTAAATATCCTGTACAATTCAAGTCTTATAAGACCTGGTTATGTCTCATCCAGTCTTTTAAGTCAATAATCAAACAATCAATTTCGTATTAAAACTTGATTGTTGTAAATATTCAGAGAACAACAGGTGCGTAAATCTTTAGTCATCGAGCTGTTTTTAACGATTTTTCAGCTAATCGACAGGTTCGCAATAAATTGTTTTCTAAGTTGCACGCAACCTCGATTTCAGGCTCAGAAATTTGAAACAAGTTATTTGATTCTATATATGTATCTATACATATGCTAATTTCGAGAAAATAAAACAAGGCAAACATGAAAAAAAAATAAAAACAACCAAATCTGATGTTTGCCCAAATTGTAATAACTTGGCATATATCCGTCTATATACTGCAGCCAATATATATATATATGGCGAAATCAACCGGATCGAGTAACTATATCTTCCGATCGAAATTTGAGTGATTCGATCTTGCGTGAACAACTCTCGTTATTATGATCCTTAAAAACTTGGACATGCAATTATCAATTATCAGATTACTATATCTTATCGATTTTATAGAAACATTCGTTCGGTTTTTCTTGTTGTAATTTGTAGCGAAATTTAGATGTCCTCCGCTTTACTATTGAATAAATATAAATCAATGTTTTTCACACTTTTGTAAACACCATTCAAATACTCCCCCTTATTTGGTATTTGTAAACTCAAAAAAAAAAAAACATTTAAAAAAAGCAACCAAGTGCAACATGTGGAGGACAACTGGAGACGCACCGTTTTCCGCTTGACGCTGCCGGCGTAGCGCGAGAGACGCGGACGGCTGTCGGAGACGACGACCATTTTGGGCAGCCAGCCGTTTTTCCGTAGATTTTGAATAGTTGCAAAGATTTCGATGGCGCGTGGCGCGCACACACACACACACAGACTCACACACACAGAGAGAGAGGCAGAAAGAGATATGAGTGAGAGTATCGAGAAGAAAATCAAAAGACAATGCGCCCCGTTCTGTTGTCCAGCGACAACTGTGGAAAATGGAAAAGCGCCACTTGGTATTTAAGTCGATTAGACAAACAGACAGACGGACAGGCAGACAGACAGACGGACAGGCAGACCGACAAGCAGAGTCAGTAAGGCCATTGGCGAGAAAGTGCCCCAAACAACCCAAGCCGCACGTGAGCAGCTTGTAAAAGGGGGCGGGTGCAGGGGCGGGCTACGTAAAGCGATGGGATTTGTTTCTTGTTGTTTGTGGTGGACAGCGGAACTTATTAGTAGCCCCCTCCCCCTCCTCCTCCTCCTCCTCATCTATTCGAATGTTCTTTTTAGCTGTTTATTTGAGTTGTTTTAAAGCTTTTTTTTTGTAATTGTATGTTAATTACGTGGCTAAAAATAGACACAACTGACTAAATTGCCGCGTGAGACTAGTTTAAGTACAGTTTGCTATGTACCTCTCTGCCTCTCTCTCTCTTTCTCTCTCTCACTTTCTGTTTGTTTTCTCTTTGTGAGCAGTGGGCAGTAGCGTTAAGGGGCCCGGCCTGGATAAACAAATCAGCGTCACTCATACGACGCGTTGGCTGTCAGTTTATTAGTCTATTAGAGAGCTGCAATTAGCCAAGCCTATAAGCCAACGCCGGCCAAACAAACACTCACGCACACACACACACACACACATCAATTACGTCTGTGTGTGTGTGTGTGTGTGCTCCAATAATAATTAGTTGCGTGGGTGTAAAAGCACAAAATCTTTTGATATGTACATGTGAAAGCTCGTTGCTCGTCGATCTCTTAGCGATTTATCTTGAGACATATTTGTAGGTCATTTAATTGTGGTACATGGCTACGATTTATAAACGTCATAAGTTAATGGTTATTTCCTAAAAAAAAAAAAAAAAAAAAAAAAACAATGAGAAAAAAAACCATACATTATTTTAGATGACACTGAAAGTTATTGACGGATTTATTGCTTGACGTTTTTGCTAGCCATTTTTGCTGTCAATCAAATCAAATCAAATCAAGTCTAAGCGAAATGTGTTTTGCACGTCGTCGTCCAAAAGAGAGGCAAATGGAGGCCAAGTGTGTGGCTCGTCAAGTGGGTGGCGGGCGGAGAGTGAAGTGAACGTCTGCATAATGACGTCGTCGCCAGCAAATGTTTGACGTCATCACAGTTTGATTTTGGCGCAGATTCAAATCGAAGACTGACGCATTAGACGTCAGGCTAAGTTAGCCAAGTTTATGACGCTGCCAATGACGTATTTTGGTTAGTTTAAGTTTAACGCTATTTTTCATCGGCTTACTGCCAATCATTATTGATAAGCAAGTACTCACCGAAACAACTCTCCTTTTCTCTCTCTCTACATCTATATATATATATTTTTGCGCCGATTTCTGTGATAAGAGTGCGTTCAAGTATTTGATAATCTATCATAATTTACAAGTTTGTTTCCTTTCCACTTTAGAGCTATTTCGGTAGTCGTTATCAGTTCTCAAACATGAAATGAGTTTCTCATTAATTTGATGGCCTGCTGTGATTGATTGCATAACGATTAAAATTCAATTCAATTCAATATCAAGCATATATATAATATGCTACATTCTTCTACTATGCACCAATAGTAACACTCTCAAATAACAACATTGTATATTGTTGACACTTGTTGATTGTAATCATATATTTTTGAAAAGCCTTTGCTTAAGATATTAATGCATTTGCTCCTTTTGTTTATTTAATATTATTATTATTATTACTATTTAGATTGTTGACTTACCGATTTTGGCGACATTTTGCTGCTTGCCTAGTTGCCCAGTTGTTGATGGTGATGATTTGAACGGTTCTTGGGTGTGGCACAAAGTATTTGACGTTTGTGTTTGTGTTTGTGTTTTTTCTTCTTTAATGCTCTCCTCTATTGTGCTTTTGTTTTGCTCGTACTACTGCAATGAGAGGAGAGAAATGCAATTAATTGAGAGTGTTGAAAGAGATTGCCACAAACTGGATTGACAATTGGCGATCGGTGAAAAATGCGTAAGACAACTTTGCTTGCGGCACGTTTCAGGCGACTGCAAATGAAAAGCTCACGATCATAATTCCTATATATAGAAACAACAGTGCTGGCTGTATATATCACTTATTGGCGCATGTGCTGCTGGCATATCTGCTATGTTTATTTCGAGTTTCACCTGGCACATTGACAAACAAAATGCAGCAGCAACAATTTTTTTCTTTTTCTTTCTTTTTCATTTTTTTTTCATTTCTTTTCTTTACTGTAGCCAAAGAAATGTTGATATAGCATGTTGCGATCGCATATTTCGAAGAAATAAATAATAATGATAAAATTAACATAAAATGTGGCAAAAGAGTGAGTTTTAGGATTACAACTGCTAAGGTTCTTTTCGGACAGAGTTTTAGATTGAGCTCAGCAGCCCAAAGTGACACAAAAGCGACACCAATCCGAGCGCCAAAAAAAAATGTGAACTCATTTAGAAAGAAGACCCTTAAAGTCATTTAAAACGATTGCTTCCTCAACTCAACTAAATCTAATATGAAATTCATGTTTTAATGTTGCGTTTATTTATGCTGTTGATGTTTGTGTGCTCGTTTGTCTTTTTGTTTTTTGTATTTTTGTATTTTTATTGAAGGTAAACTGTCAACGTAATGAAAATCCAATTGACATTTTGACACGTGTGACATTTGAAACGCTTTTTGCTACTACTAACTGACGTCACACGCGACGCCATATTTGTTTGGCTACATACATATGTTTACATATGTACATATATATATATATATATACATACACGAGTTTAAAACGGGCCTGAACAAACGGTTTCCGTCGAAATGCAAATTAATAATCATTAGCTGCAAAGGCAGGCAGAAGACATTCCAAAGTTTCGGTTTTCATTATTGTTAGGTTTGCACAAATTATGACATCATGCCGACTTTATTATCGCTTCTGCGTGAACTTCATAAATACACACTTAGCAAGCCCACACTTGGATACATATGTATCTCTATATATACATATATATATATATATATATATATATATAAGTTATGTTCCAGTCCAAAGTTATATAAATGAACCTTGTCAAGTTGTTTGTTACACAAGATTTATTTTGGGAATTCGCATTGGTATTTATTACAAAAACAAATTCCTGTTAATTGATGCTCGTGTCATCCAAGTCGTCTTTTTTATCGTAAATAAATATGAAAAAAAAAAAACGACGAATGTTGGTAGATGTTGAACAAAATTCAATTCTGATTCATAAAACTATTACGATACTGCTCCAGATAAGAAATAGTAAGCATGTAAGAATTCCACAGTCGAAAGTAACCGACTAGCAGATACTGTTACCTACTCAACTGCTACATATTAAACCATATGTAAACTTTAAATAAATAACAACTGAAATTGATTAAGTTTCCATAAACTTTTTTTTCCTTTCCAATAATAAAATGAGATTGCAAGATTTTCAAAAATATTTTTTTACAAGAGTATTTGGATGTCGTTAGGCAGGCATTTGCTTCAACTTTTTTGTTGTTAATATTATATGGTTGCCTTGAACTCATACAGCAAATTTTGAAATGAGCTCATTTTGTTTGCGCCAGCTGTAAATGAGCTGCGCCGCTAATCAGCAACAGGGCCGGCAAGCGACAAATTCCTTTAGCTTGAATCAAACATAAAACGGGCCATATAGATTGGTAAGCTCTGATGGCAGATGAATCATTTGCATGTTATGCAAACAAACACAAGCAACAAAAAAAAATAATTAACAGTTTCGCTGCGAGTAGGTTTGCTCTATGCATCCACAGTCTTCAAACAACACCATGCGTCATTTCCGACAGCATTTGATTGCCATTTGATTCGATTTGTTCGGTTCGCCTTTGCTTAATCTGTGACTTGATATTTTATTTTCCTATTTTTTTTTTCGTCGTGTTCGTGTAGGGAATAAAGAGGAAGAGAGGAGGAAAGGGAGTACTTGCTTTCAAGATTACCGGCACAAACGGATATGAAAATGATTGAGCAAATATGCGTAGCGCAAGATGAGTGCAGCTTAAGTTATCGATAACAGTCAAACGGCAAAAAATAAAAAGAAGAATATGTCCACCTGCTGCTGCCAAGCTGAGTTATGCTTTTTTAATGCTGAGCTTACATAATCTGGCTTGGGTTAACCCACGCGCAACATTTGCTCATTGTTTTGTTTATGTTTAATATCCATTAACTGCATTTAATGAGTTCAAGCTAAAAGCAGCGGGGCAACGGTTACGTTTACGTTTAAGTTTAAGTTTACGTTGACGTTTATTGCTTGACCACCGGAACAACAGCGCAAATCACACACACATAGACAGACACACACACAGATAGACAGATACACACACACACAACTAATGAGCTTTTGAGCGCAAAGCGCACGTAAAACAAAAAACCAAAAAAAAAAAGAAAGAAAAAAGAAGAGAAACAAAGAGAGCGACGTCATGTTCATATTGCGTATGCGCAGCGCAACGCAAAGCAGCTGCGCAATGGAAGCCAAATAACTACAGACATGAAAGCGAAATGACAACAACAGCAACAACAGCAACAACAAAAACAGCAGCAACAACAACAAAAGCAAAAGCAGCGCGCTTCTTACACATTTGCTTTTACTTTTCATTTTCATTTCGAGTCGTTAAATAAGCATCATAATAATAATAACAAGTAAACATGAAATAAATAGCCAACAACATTTTCTTCGCCAAACTTTTAATTTCAACAATTATGCGTTTTTTTTTTTGCATGGTGCCTTGATTTTCGTACAACCATCTCTTTCTCTCTCCCACGCTCGCCACAACTCTCAGACGCTGCTTTGTTTAATACTTTGGTCGTTTTGCTTGCTGTGGTCAATAATTAAAATTGAGCAATCAAGCGATTGAATAGATCTCTCTCTCTCCCTCTTTGACCAAGTAAACTGTTTTTCTTTTTTGCTTGTCGCTTTTTGATACCCTACAGAAACATTAAAGGGGTGGATGATCACGTGTTATATGTATATTTTTTTTATTACTTTTTTGTTTGTCATATTATAGTTTAGAACGCATTACATTTTTCCACAGTCTTAGATGGCTTATTTTCTATTGAAAACTGTGTTAGACCGTATTAAAAATAAAGTGCATTCAATTATTAAAGTATACTTTGTTTTTCTAGAATTAAAATCATATTCAAACTTCTAAAACATGGCACAGAGCATCTCCAGATCGAGCACATTCCACTCTACCGGTTCTTTCTCAATCTGTTGTGTTTTGTGAATGAGAACAAGTAAGGACAAGTAAGAAAGACAGAAAGCAAAAAAAAATAGTCAAGCAAGCAGGCGGGCCGCCTGCCAAATGTGACAATTTAATGAAGCAAATTAAATGTTCTTGATAGCAAACAAATGGGGCGCTCGTAATGAAAACAACAGCAGCAAAGGAGGAGAGATAGGTGGGGGGAGGGGGACATGGAGTGTGTTGGGTGGCGGGAGGAATGGAATAAAACAATAACAGCAACGCAACACCATAATTAATATGACACGCATCAGAAATATATTTAAAGGCGCCAAGAGAAGTAGAACAATGGGAGAGCAAGAAATTTATTTTAAAAAATGAATTGCGTTTACCAACACTGATGCAATTTGAAAGTTGCATTGCAAATGACAGAGAGAGAAAGAGTGCGTAATGCTCACATCATTGCACCGTTAGTTAAATGACTAAGCGCGTTCTTCTTATTTTATTGTGCTGCTTAGTCTGTTAATTGTTTTTGTCAATTTGACAAAAAGTTGCCAACAGCAAAAAAAAAACAGCCGTACACACACATACACAAGCACAAAGCAAACATTGTGGGTTCGCTTTTGTTTATTTGGGTTTTCTTTTGAAGGGCAGCTGACAGCAGTTGGATGTTTTGACAATTTTTTGTTGTTTGCAGCACAATCAATGGAAACTTTTTATACTAGCTAATTTGAGCCAACAGTTACTACGTGTTTTTCTGTGTGCTGCTGACCAGTTATAGTAGTTGCGATTGTTGTTGCTGTTGTCGTAGAGTATGTATCACACCATAATAATCTCAATTGGGTTATGTTACATAACGGAGACGTGTCGCTTATCAGCTTTGGCCACGTAAAGTCCGCCCGCTCTACGTGCATTGAAGCAAACATCAAATTGTGAACATGTTTTCCGTTTTTATTGCGGTACCCGCAAAAAGGCAATCAAAATAATGCACACAGTTTTGTAGTCGTTGTCGGTGTGGTGTGGGCGGGTGCTGAGAGAATGTTTTATGTTTTGTTTAACACAGTAGACAAAAGCAAAAGCAAAACCAACACTAAAACAAAAGCAAAACAAAGCAAATAATAAAATAAAATTGCCATTGCAATGCGGGTGTGTTGATTTTTTATTTTTTTTGTTGTTCTCGATTTTTGTCAACGTCACTTCCGTTGGCAAACTATTCTCCCGTATTTGTACAATGAAATCATGTGCATATCTTATCTAACAACACACTGACACACACACACACACAGACGCATGCTCATTTGTTTAGCAATTGCTCCAAAAATAATTTATATCAGCATTTTTTATGAGGCCCAAGCCCGAGCCCCAAAAAAAAAAGAGGAGTTCCGAAAAAGACAGAAAAAAACAATTACAAATTGGCAAATAGACAATCAGCAACAAACAATTGGGTCGTTTGTTCTTTTTTTCACCACCCGCAATATTGCGTTATCGATAAACAAAAGCAAAAGCAGTGAAGAAGCACGCACTCACGCAAGCACACACGCACCAAGAGCGTTTTCTTTCGCTCCCCTCTATCGCCTTCATCCTCTGTTCTTTAGACCACACTAGATGGCATGCGCTACTTGCTTGACGCCGGCTTATTAAGAAGTACCTTTAACCGTTACACTGAAAAAGCTCATTTGAACAGACGGTGCTCCTCTCTCAAGCCTTGCAAATTGAGTGTTTAAGCACTCAGTATAATTTTATTATCGCTTTGATTTTTGTTTCTTATATTTTATGCGCTAGACTTAATACGGTCACACCTGCTCATGCATGCAAATGTATGTAAGTATTTATATATTTATTTATATGTATATATGTATGCATGTATGTCAGTCAACGTTTATTATTTCATTTTCCTTTCGTTTCGCTCCGCGTGTAAGCCATGCACATTCATACCTACATATTTACAGTGCTGGCAAAAAAAAATGTGACTATTATCAATGCATTTGCTTTAAATAAAACAAAAAAGTGGACTTTTAGATTGTACTTTCAATGCATGCACGTATTTAAGCCTTGTGAAAATTGGTTTATTAAAAAAAACTCAGTAAATAACTGTATATATATATGAATGTGTAGATACAAATGTAATTATTTTTGCATGAATAAAGTTTGGTTATGAAACTACAATTTGTGTATGCAAAACTGTGCGCCGAGCAATTTTTTATGATGCAACACAAGACACACACACACACACACAAACAGCCTAAGCGTTGGAGCGCAACAGAGATAAAGATATTGGAGAAGTCAAGCGACGAATCGTCGTCTCATCTGCCATTTGCTGTTATTATTTTTATTATTTGCAACTTATTTTATGACAGCCGCAGCCGCAACTCGTTAGCTAATTTCAAGACAACAACAAAGCCAAATACAATACAATAACAACAACAATAAGACCCCCATAAACAATAGACATATACATTGAAAAGAAAAACAAGTATTAATATGCGTGACATTGAGATTTGAGGTTATGCATATGATATATGCAGTCGCAGCCTCAATCGCACTTCAATTGTAGAGTTTCCCAAAGTCTCCACTTTGAGTGCTATTATATGCTTGTGTATGTGAGTGTGAGTGTGTGTGTGTGTGTTTTTTTTTTCAAATATTCTGCAGTCTTATATATCACTGGCTAATTAATTGACTATCCATCCAATCTTAATTTGGGCCATCCGCTCAAGTCCACAAATCATAGTGGGGATTAATACGCTTTGCTCTTCGATTGATTTATGCAGAGCAAAAGAGAACAAAAAAAAACAGAAGAAAAAACATGAACAAGCAAGAAAAGAAAACACGAGTTGGAGACTGCGTCGTGACATATCGTGTACATCGCAGCTGTTATTAAAACAACATTAAAACCAAAGCAAACACAGCGGCATCAAATTCACCTCACATATCGTGAGAGAGAAAAAGAGAAAGAGAGAGAGAGAGAGAGAGAGAGTGAGAGCAAAGTAATTTTTATTTCGGGATAGAAGCGCTGATGTCCTTTGGATTGAGCATGCGCAGCTCCTGCGAAAGTTAATCGACACAGCCATCAAATTAGACAATTTATTGGCCATGTCCCCCACTCTAAATGGGTCATATGATAGCGAAAAAGCCGACACAAACAATCGAGTACGAAGAAACCGAAAGCCAATAAAATATATATCTATATATACAAAAAAAAAAGAACAAACAGAAAATAAGCACAGAAGGCGAAAGCGACAAGAGAACCTATTCTGAAGCAGAGACAATTGCTTGGCTTGTGTTATGTAGGTGTGTGTAAGTGTTTTGGCCAGATATTTATCAGAATGTTAACTGAGTATGGGTATGGGTTGGCTTTGGCTATAAACGAGTATTGGCGTCATTGAGTTTTAACTGATTCATCAGCGCGAAGCGCCGTTAAATTAAATTGTGTGCCACTGACGATTGTTACCTTGACGCATGCAAAAGCAAAAGCAACAAAAAGTCAACACCACAAAAAAAAAATCACATACGACAAAACAATCGCAGCAAGTGCACAATTAGTCATTTTATCAATTAATAATTAGTTATTTTTAAACGTGCTTGCAGCTAGCTACTGCTGCTGCGGATGAACGCAAAGAGAGAGAAAGAGAGAGAGAGAGAGAAAGATCGCGACACACACACTAATATGCACAGTTTATTAACAAGATTTATCGTAATTTTGTTTACACCTTGAACTTTGGCGCAACAGCACTAAAAAAGGCGCACTCAGTGCAAAGCTCGTCATAGAGGCGCTGGCAGAGTTGTATTTTGAAAAAAGGTTGCGTGCGAAGGCAATGAGCAACAACTAGGCAATGCCTGCTGCTGTATCGTATCAGTGAGCATTTGTAAGCACTCACCTGTAACAACAACGACAACAACATACATTTTCGAATGCTCAAATTAAAGAGAACCTGTTCCCTTACACATATATATATATATATATACATTATATATGTATATATTATATATATATATATATATATTTTTATTTATTTATTTTTTTTTTTGCGGCTTTTGACATTTGCGCTTTGACAAACACAATTAAATCAATGGAATTTGGAAGGCTGAAAGTCAATGAAGCATAAATTTTATTGAGATTAACTCATCGCATTGAGTGTAGAATACGACGAGACTCTTTGTGACCTTCAACTGAGAGTTTTTATCTTCTGTTTTTTTTTTTGGGCGCGTTAAAAGCGTTCATTGAGAGATGCTAAATACATCAGAAAATGTATTCGTTGAGCCCCTGAATGCTGAAGAAAGCTGCAAAAAGACAAAAGAAAGCTGCGGAATTTTAGCAATGCGGCCAATGGCCTCCCTCCTCCTCCTACTATCCACCAACCAACCAATCAACCAACCCCCCTGTGCCCCACAAAACAGCTAGACAAGTCTGCAACTGCAGAAATGAGTGATAGATAAAGAGAGAGAGAGAGAGAGAGAGAGAGAATGGGAGAGGGAGAAACTGAAAGAGATCAATCTTCTCTGCTGAATGCTGTACAACAAGGTTTAGCGTTTAAAAATATTAACAACATAAATTAAAGAGGCAATTTAAATGCATTTTGAGCACGCGCATCTCGCATGCCATTTCTTACAAACGAACATTTAACGCATATTATTTGATCTTACTTAAAGTAACTGCATTTGATTACAATCAATTTAAACAATACAAAAAATAATAAATAAAAAAGGGATTTGAATTTGGCATTGTCAATTCTAATGCAATATTTGCATTTGCCTTGTTCGAAAATTGTTTTTTTTTTGTAAGCTTTTTTCAAGCTGATGCTGAAATATAGGCATGATGAAGTGCAATCAACTGTTACCGTTGTTGCTGTTGCTGTTGCTGACCAGGCTAAGTAAAAGCTTGTCAAGCACACAATTGAAGTTGGCTGACGATAATATTGCTGTCTATCAACTACTTGCTTATGAGGCACTGTCTCTGTTTCTGTGTCTCCGCCATTGTAAACCTGACTGCCGCCTCCCTGGCCTGCTGCAAGCAGCGTTTGCTTTGTGGCACTTAGCCATTACTTGTTGTTTTTGTTGTTATTGCTTTTTGCTGGTCAGATTGGCTGCTGTTGTTGTTGTCGTTGCTGCTGCTGCCTGCCTGCCGCTTGACTAGCGCTTTTAGAAAGTATGTCAATTTAGAAAAGCCGTTGACTGGACAACCAGCCAGTTAGACAGCCAGCCAGCCAGCCAGTCAGGCCAGTCGGCGGGCAATTTCTATGCATGTGTTGCTTGCTTTAATGTATTAGGTTCAATTTGATGTTGTATACCAACCAAGCCAAGCGAAATAGTGTTGCTTTTGTTGTTGCTCTTTTTTCTTTTATTTTTATTTTTATTTTTTGTATTACTTGCGGCGATGTTTTGTTATTACCTTTCATACAAATTGCACTTGAACACAACACACGAAAAAAAACGACATTTATTCCAATTGCAATTTCCACGGAATAAAACCGAAAAGAAAAAAGAACTTTGCGTCTGATTGAAACGAGCGCGCCGTCGCGACTGTCTAAAAAAAAGCAAATAAAAACAACTTGCTGCTGCTGACTCGATGACTCCCAAAAGGAGAGTAGAGTTGGAGAAGTGAGCGCGACGAGTGAGTTTATTGAGTGAGTGTGCGAAGGGGGACGACGGAGGGCGGCGGTATTAAGCCGCTGTTGCTGCTGGTGCTCAAACTCTGCTCAACAAGTGCTGCTGCTGCTGCTGCTTCTGCTGCTGCGTGCGATGCTTTGTACAGACGCGTTAGCAAGTTTGCTGCTGACTAAATGGCAAATTTAATAATAGCGCATGTGGTGCCCTGAAACAACGTCAAAGCTTAGCAGCAACAGCAGCAGCAGCAGCAGCAATAGCTTACGCTGGAGAGAGACAGAAAGAGAGAGAGAGAGAGACAGAGAGCGAGAGTGAAAGAGGGAGAGAGCAGAGCCAGCAAAGACAGTCAAAAGCAGTAGCTGGAAAACATTGTTGCTGCTAACGATAGTAGCACAGGAAATATCACACTCGCACTCACACTTATTGAGTAAGAGGGAGAGAGGAATATGCGGCATTTTGTGTGATATGAGCGACTAGGCATATCAATAACAGTGCATAAGAAGTAGCAAAGAGGGAGACAGGTAGATAGAGAGAGAGAGAGAGAGAGAGAGTACAACTAACGCATAGTTTAGGTGAGCTGAGCAGCTGCTTCTGCTGCTAAAGCTTCAGACAAAGCCCCACAAATGGAGTTGCAGTGGCAGGTGCAAGGCCAGTAATAATTGTAATTATAATAAGCAACGTCAACAGTGGAGAAACACATGAATCAATTTACACGCACATCACGAGAAATATTCGCGACGCAGGCGTCGTCGCAATCACAACCCAAATTAGAACATTACGTGTGAGAGCGTATGTGTGTGTGTGTGTCGGTGTGTGTACAGTTAACTGTTAACCACTGAAAAAATAGTTTATCTATTTGTTGTTGTTTTTTCTAACAAACACACAAAAAGAATAGCGACACACCATAAAATACGCAATCAACGAAAATAATTACATTTTTGAAGTAAATCACAAATTTATAGCTCTGATTGCATTGCCTCGTTGAAGGCAGGAAGAAGAAGAAATGTTTGGTTCTTCTGTCGGTTAAATGAATGCACACTTTTTTCGCATGGGTTTAAATGTTTAACATTCATTTAACATTCGCACATCATCAACAACAACACAGGGGATTACAAAAATGAAAAAGAAAAGAGGAAAAAGCACAATAAATTGCAATTCAAAGTCACTCACAAAAGAGGCAATAAAAATGAACGGGAATTCATTGTTGGATGTTGATGTCTGCCTTGAATTACACTTTGCATATTGTCCCGTTCATCTCTTCTTCATACGCATTACACTCATTCGCACTCAATGTAAGGTCAGCGACGCTGCTTGACTTGCCAGCCAGTTGGCGTCGCAGCATTCGCCGCTGCTTCACTTTCAAAAGCATTTCGAGTACAAAAAAAAAGTAAAAGCTCTCCCACGCCGTTTTTTTTTTCTTTATGGACAAACCATGTGGAAAAGAAAGAGAAGAGGAGATCGAGAGAACGTCGACGTCGACATCCATACGAGTGTGTGTGTTGCACGCAATGCTTAAAGACTATTTGCAGATAAGATAGCAACAGAAGGCAGACGCTGTTTTGGGGGGTGGGGGGTGGTAGGTGAACGAACGGGATCATTTTGGGTCGGCGCCGGAGGTCGTTCGGCATTTGACCCACTAAACGAGTAGACGGCACCGACGCAGAGCCTCTGCCTGAGTCAGGGCGAGGGCTTTTGATTAAATTCTTCACTAAGTGGGTGAAGGGCAAGTAATTCTGACTGGATAGCAGTTACTGCTCGGTAACTCGGCAGCACGGCAGTTTTAAGGCGTTGCCAGTCAGCGCACAGAAGAGTTGATGAAAGCACGAAATTTACCAAAACATGCACATGCGCTCTCACACACACACACACACACACACACACACACAAATATTTGTACTTACATGCAAATACACTATTTAGTCAAAGATAAAAGCGCGCGCCAAGTTCTCACTATAATCCACAGTTGCGCTCGCGCTCTTGCACTCTTCTCTCGCTCGCTCTCTCTCTCACTTGCACACGTGCAGAAAAACAAAAACAAAAAAAAAAGGAAGAGCAAAACTCACAATGAAAGCAACAGCAACAACAATAACGGTTGCTCAACACTTTTTTCGACAGTTTGTTTTCTGCGCTGCCGCCGACTGCACGTACCGAAAGTCAAATGCGAAATGAGCCAACGGACGACGCGCAGCGCAGCGAATGCGAGCGCACAGCGTTTTTATCTGTGTGCAACGGACGATGGTAGAGGCGGGAAGGGGGGCGGTGGCTTTCGGTTCTCGCGAGATGCTCCCATGAAACTGTAATGGCCGGCCAGCAGCCCCCAAAAAGCTAGTCACGCGGCTGGAGCTTGGAGCTTCACAGCAATAACACACATGCATGCGCACAATTTGAGTTTTGAGTGAGGATCGCTGAGCGTAATACAAGTGTTGGTGGAGCTGCTGGTGCTACCAGGTGGCAACGCTGGCAACGCTCATTGAAATTTGAAAGCAGGCGCTTGCTTTTAACGTTTTTCGTATTGTTACGTAACGCGCGACGTCGCTGCTTCTGCTACTACTACTATACGCTGTACGCGCCGCTGCCTAGGCGCCCGCTTAATTATTCAAGCATAACGAAAACAACTCGTTTTGGTTAATTTACATAAAATACGGTACTACAAAATAAAAGAAACAACAACAAGCCGCTGCACACACTTGTTGCACAGCCCACAAAAAAAAAAAAAAAAAACCATGTAAAGCCAAAGCCATCCAAAAGCAGCGCAGTCGACGCATGAGCAAACAAATGAGTGAGAGTGCAGCGACAGCGACGACTGCGCAGTCGGCAGTTGCGTTTCATGGCCAGCACAAGTGAGCGAGAGAGCGACCAGAGAGTCAAAGAGAGCGAGAATAAAGCAGCGCCATCAAAAATTTCAAGTTCGAAAACCAAGTTCGAAATTCTGTGTGACGTCGACGACGACGTTGCCATTCACTGACGCCGCTGTCGCATCGCTGTCTGCGCCCAAAATGCAAATTGTAAATTCGGTTTAATTTCCATTACCTAAAAATATTCGCCCCTTCCGAATAAAAATTCAACAGGCGGCAGTCGATGACGTCAGCGCGCGTCTTCTGTTGCTGCTGCTGCTGTTGCTTCTTCTGCTTTCAATTGCTGTTGATTCTTGTTGTGCAAAAAAAATTCAATGCCAAACACACTCACACACACACACACACGCACATACACGATTAAGCAGGAGGAGCAACATTCGTTTGTGGTCACAGTTAGGGATGAGCGCGTCGCTAGTCACGAGCACGATTAAATTAAAGGGTGAACAGCAAATAATATGGAATATGATGTACTCTCATCGTTCGAGCGACACGTTAGCCGCGTTGTTGTTGTGCAACTTAACATTCATATTGTGTAAATAAGAATTATAGACGCTCACGCGCCGAGTTATCAGCAGGGGGGTATGGGGAGGGAGGGAGTGTAGTGTGTGCCTACCTGTAGCTGTTGCTGCTGCTGCTGCTCCTTGGCAGCGCTTTGTTTATGCAAGCCAATAATACAAATACTGCTCACTGGTAGCTACGCAAATTTCGCACAAAATGGCAACGCTGCCACTCAAAACTGGTTTTGTCTCAGCTTACTGGATGAGCAGCAGCGTATATACATATGTGTATATATAGAGATATAAGTTGATAATTGACGAGACATTCAGCTAGAGAGAGAGAGAGAGAGAGAGAGGAGAGAGGAGAGAGCGAAAGAAGAGAGTGAGAGAGAGAAAAGAGTGAGAGAGAGAAAAGAGTGAGAGAGAGAAAATAGTGAGAGAGAGAAAATAGTGAGAGAGAGAAAATAGTGAGAGAGAGAAAAGAGTGAGAGAGAAGAGAGTGAGAAGAGAGTGTGAGAGAGAGAAGAGAGTGTGAGAGAGAGAAGAGAGTGAGTGAGAGAGAGAAGAGAGTGAGTGAGAGAGAGAAGAGAGTGAGAAAGAGAAGAGAGTGAGAGAGCGACGTGAATGAGAGAGAGAGACGTGAGTGAGAGAGCGACGTGAATGAGAGAGAGAGACGTGAGTGAGAGAGAGAGACGTGAGTGAGAGAGAGAGAGACGAGAGTGAGAGAGACGAGAGTGAGAGACGAGAGTGAGAGAGAGAAGAGAGTGAGAGAGTTAAGCACTGATTTTGCCGCCTACCAGTTTTGGCCATGTTCAGGGAGCTAATTGCGAATCGTTCTACTTTCGACCGATAAATCAAATAATGAATGAACACACACACACATACACACTTACATACATATGTATATTGAAAGAGAGCGCACTGGCGTTGCCAGTCCAGTGAGCGAGTGTAAACAATAGCGCCACAGCATCCGCTGCTTAATCAATTTTCTGCTCCTCCCGGTCCCGATCTCGGTCCCCCGGTCACGGTCTCGGTCTCGGTCTCTCACTCTCCCTCGTTCTTCTCGGTCTGGCGACGCAGCAGAGAAGAGTGAAGCTGCTTAGAACTTGGCTGCTTTGCGGTTTTATTTATTTTTTTGTTTTCTTTTTTCTTCTTCATTCTTTTGCGCAAGCTTGTGGCGACTTTCTTGTTGCCACAAAACAAACCGTTACAAATAGCTGGGGAATGTTGAGTTGAGTTGAGATGCTGGACAAATCACAAAGAACCAGAACAGCAAACTAAAGTGCCGGTTCAATAAAATTCGAAACAAAAACTGTAATAACCAGTGTTGCTCTATCAGCCTTTTAAATCTGTTTTTTTTTTTTTTTAACTCTCTGAATAAATAAAATAAAACTAACAAAATAAAATATTGAGAATTTGTACCAAAATTTCTGACATGCTGTCACCTCCATCGATTCACAAATATTATAAGTTATTTCTGTTTGTTTTTTGAAGCATAGCTAAAACTAGCTTTTTTGCTGGGCAACACCGCCAATTTTCAACTCGAAAATGTGCCTTAATGCTAATGAGATATTCTGCTAACTACACATATAACACGCATACACATACATGTATGTATGCTTCATGAGTGCATATTATGTATATCACGTATGTGTGTGTGTGCGAGGTGACATATGATAAAGACGGAAGTGAGCAGCGACCTGCAGACACAAAGAAAGACGGTAACACAAAACCAAGAAGAAAAAGACGACGACGACGACGCAACGCAGCAAGCGTTTTCTTTGTGTGCGTGTGGAAAAACTTTCGACGGCGACGATGGAAAAACGGTGGTTGCATCGCGCCATTGATTGTAATTTTCACACGCTTTGCCAAACACACACACATTAGCAAAGCGCTTGCAACAACACAAAAAGGTAGCCGCCGGCCAGCGACAGTGATTTATGGCAGCTGGCGCATTTCACATAAGAAAACAGAAAGCAGAAAAAAAAACATTTTAATTCTCACATTATTTTGCATTGTTTCGCTCTCCCTCTAGCGCATAGGGCGCGCGCGCGCCATCAGCTTTTAAGGCGAACTTGAGCTGCGATTTCAAAAATTTAACAGACTTTTTGGCGAATTTGATTTATGGCGACGGCGAAGAGAGCGCGACAGCACACAGTATTCAGCATTGAGCATTAATCGAACGCCTCTCACTCTCACTTTCCAGAGTGTTGCCACTGTTTGATTGGGTTTGGTTTATTGTTCATATTCTGAAACTGTGTTAGTTGCATGTTTTTAGCAAGTAAGTACAGCAAAATTTGGATATTATGGAAAACGTTGACACAGCGGCGCGCAGGCCGGTTAATGACTCACTCAAACCAACTGCTCAAGTCGCGCTCTCTGTCTCTATCGCACACACACACAACCACCAGTGGGACATATGGATGTGTATGTGTGTATATGTGTAGGCACACACACACACAAAGAGACACCGGTATTTCAACATTGCGTTACACACACTCATTCTGTTTGCTCGATTCTCGCTTGCTTTCTTGCCATCCCACTTCATTTTTTTTATTGTCTTCAATGCTGCTGCATGATCACACACACACACACACACATACACACACAAAGTTATATATGGCTATGTACACAATTGCATATACTAAATGCATATATATATTAAATTTACATAAGTTGATATAGGTGTAAGGAATGAGAACCAATTAACTCTTTTGGTTGAACTCACCTGCAAATTCGGCTGCTGAAACCGGCACAAAGTGTTTGCGTGGAGTTTTTTCGTTTTGGTTTTCCCTTTTTCGTTTTATATGTACAACGCAACATATACACTAAAACAGCAATTTACAATAGCTGTTCCTTATTGGCTATAAATGCGTAGAGAATCACACAAAAGTTGAACGAAAAAAAAAATAATAGAATAAAACTGCTTCAGTGGCGCGGCGGGCACAAAAGCACAAAAATTACTTCGCTTTTGGTTGTCGCTAGAGCTGCACCACAATCGATAGTATCGATAGTTTTTGTCACCAGACTGCGCAGCAAAAACACGAATAAAGATAGCAACAGAGTTCTGCCGGCGGCTCCTATTGGCGAATTGCCAGTGGGTTTTGTACTTGTTTGCGTTTTTGTTGGGGACGGCGACTTGCTTCGTCGAATTAACCACAATTTAATTAGTTGGTATTTCTCTTGAAAATGCTCAAATTGAAAGGAATGCGATTTGACGATCGTTTATATTAGGGACGGTCAAAAAATATCGATAAGCTAAATGCCGCAACAATTGAACTCGATTTGGTTTTGGTTTATAGTTGCGATTTAATCATTAAGTTGACTTATCGAAAATTTAAATAACATCCTATCGGTAAATAGACCGAATTAGAATACAGGCCCGTAATAGTTTCTTTTTTTTTGCTGCCACTATTAAATCGCCTGCCCTCCACAAGGTAACGATAATTTCCTTGGCGCTGGCATTTGAAATATGTATGTCGGCCAAATATAAATTTAGACATGAAAAAAATCAATTTATTTAGCTTCAATCGAGGTGTGAGTATCGGGCATCAAAAATAACTTAAAATGCGCAACATTTCATGTTGGGCTCACTAATTTTGTACTCATCTAGGTCACACATAGAACAAGATAGAAATATGTGGTCGATCCTAAAAGAAAAAATCATAAGAAAACAAAATAAAAACAAAAACACTATAACTAAATTAGGCTAGATCCTTGTGTTCCATGTCGCGAACCAAGCGCTCGCGACTTTCCTGCGGATTAAGCAGCACCTTCACCAAATGCTCCACAGTCGGTCGCTCAGCGGTGCAAAAGACCTTTAGTCCTAGGGATTCGAGGGCTCGCCGCGTGCTCGGCCCAATTGCCACCAGCTTCCACTGATTCGGTGCAATGTTGTGCGCCTTGAAGTACTCATTCGCACAGTTGACACCCGACGGCGAGAAGAAGGCGAGAAACTCAATGTTCTCCGCCTTCAAAGCACGCTCCATGCACTCGGCCAGCTGGGGACTGCACTTTGTCTCGTACACCTCGCAGGCGTCCACACAGAAACCGTTCTCCGCCAGCTTGGAGAGCAATGTGTCCGTAGCCAGATTGCCGCACGGTAACAGCAGCGGCAAATTTCTCGACCCATCGAACGTGTCCACAATGAAATCGCCCAAATTGCGTGCGTTTCCCGTCTGTTTGCCATGAGTGAAGAGCTGTTGCAGTGTGCTCATCGCCAGATTGTGCGTAACCTCGCCGACGGCATAGTTATGCAACAGTTTCCAACCACCGGGCAGCTCGGCCAGCTGCAGGGACTCGGCCACCGCTTCCACGCAACGTGGACTTGTAAAGATGATGCCAGCATATTTGTCCGGCGTCTGCAGCTTGGCGCTCAGCTGCTCAAGATTCTTGAAACCGAAGCTCAGTGTCGGCACGAACAGTGGCCGAAAATTGTGACCCAGCAAGGTCTCCGCATACACATCTGTACTTTCCGATTCTGATTTGAAAATAATCACCGTCCGCTGCTGGCTGCTCATCGTGCCAAATCGATCGATTTACACTCCCCTTGGCTCGTCTCTCTCGTCTTGCCACGTCTCGTCTTGCTGTGTGGTAGGTGATAATGCTCTATGGCGTATCTATAGAATGCTTGATGACTGCGGACTGTGATCCCACGGTGCAGCATGCAACGTTTAGTGCCGCCTTTGGCCAGTGGCCCAAAAAGTGTTTTTGTTGCTATTCTTTTTTTTTTTGCGAACAGCTGTTTTCCGGCCGGTCGCAGCGTTGCCATCTGCATTGCGATGCATTGAGCATCTGGCAGCGCTCTCAACGTCTTAATATTTTGAATTTCGTTTATTTTTGATATTTTTATTTTTTTCTGTATAGATATGCGCAAAGATATAAAATTACAAATGAAATACTTCACAAATTTAATTTTATTTCAAAATATTCAAATCAGAGCAATTAAATTACTGCTTATGATTAAAATCTCACTGGATATTTTGAAACTTTCAAGTGAACAAATCACTTAGGATTCCAAAATTTGCATATAGGAACTCACCTTTCGAGCGTTCATATTACTGTTGTATGAATATTTAGTAAATTAGAAATTGTTGGGCAAGAATGAAGAGCAGGTTTTTGCATTTTTGTAGCAGTAACCGTTTCAATCATTTATGCTTTTAAAAAATGCGGGCAATGAGTGCTTCATATCGATAGCATCAGCTCTCGTAGGTATGCAGCAGCACTTTTAAATGAACCCGTCATTGGTTACTGGTCAAAAACGTCGTTGTAACTGGCTATTCATTTAGTTATTTCCTTCCTATACGGATAAATAAAACGTATCGGATTATGTATTTGTAGTTTTATAATCAGTAACGAAGAAATATGAAATAGCAGATAACAAACAGAGTACCAATCATAAGTGATCATAAATGTGATGCGCAGTTATCGATTCTCGATTGTCGAATACAACCATATTAACGTATACATGCGAATGGCAAGCACATATCGTGTGTCTTGTTGTATTCGAAAGCCGCTCGCACGTTGCACGTGTTTATACAAATATTGCTGCAATAATTATTAAGCAGAAGCGTCAATTATAAGACAGACAGCCACAGAATGCAGCACGACGATGTAAGTAGAGAATGTAGTACACAATTGTGTCACCAAATAATGCCAATCTGTCTCTATCTCAGGTGGTTTGGAGCATCATCAACAAATCCTTCTGTTCGCACAAAGTCAAGTAAATCAAACGGAACAATATAAAAATAAATCAAAATGTATAATTTATATAAATGTAATTTATTGCAGAACCGATACGCGCACATTTTGCCGCCACGAGTACAATCTGACGGGCATGTGCACGCGCCGCACCTGCCCCCTGGCGAATTCACAGTATGCAACGGTGCGGGAGGAGAAGGGCATCATTTATCTGTTCATGAAGACGGCGGAGCGGGCGCATATGCCCAGCAAATTGTGGGAGCGCGTCAAATTGTCCCGCAACTTCGAGAAGGCCATCACGCAAATCAACGAGAATCTTGTGTTCTGGCCCAAATATATGATATCGAAGAATAAGCAGCGTTTCCTCAAGATCACCCAATATCTGATGCGTATGAGGAAGCTGAAGTTGCGCCGCCAGAAACTGATTGTGCCGCTCTCGACGAAGATCGAGCGGCGTGAGACGCGACGTGAACAGAAGGCTCTGATTGCTGCTAAAATTGATAATCACATTGAGAAGGAGCTGCTGACGCGCCTCAAAATGGGCACGTACAAGGATATCTATAACTTTTCACAGACGGCCTTCAACAAGGCCTTGGAGGCGGAACAAATCGATGAAGACGAGGAGGAGCAGGAGGAAGAGGAGGAGCAAGAGCTGGAAATGGAAGGTGAAGCGCATGAAGATGCACGCGAGGCAGCCGAATTGCGACGCGCTCTCAACGATACCGAGGAGTTTGTTGAAGCCGACACCGATGATGGCGAGGATGATGATGAGGTTGACTACGACAGCGATTCGGGTCAGCGGGAACAGGTGGAAATGGAGAGCGATTTCGCGGAGTCCGATGATGATGATGCTGATAATGCTGATGATATCGAGGTAAATATTTATTATATAGCCATCTATATATATATATAATATATATAGTATAATGGGCACTTTTAAAATCAGTATTTTTAAATTACTGAAAGCTGACCAAAGAATTATGTTTCTAGTTGCAATTGTCCGCTTGAATAGAAGAACTTTTAGAAATCTGTGTTACAAATAGATGTATAAAAGTTGCAAATATATAGTTTAGCTAATATATATAATATATAATCTATCAAATCTGTCCAACAAGGTTGTGCAACATGCGACACGCGACGTAATTATTGCCATGGGATAGTCTCCAGTTAGTAAGCCTCTAAACTAGTAATTTTCGCATTGTTTCGCAGAGTAGAAATAATCGCCAATTGTGGTGTATTATTATTTAAGGGGAACAACCAATATCTATATACAAATCTATATGCTTGTTGGCAAAGGTCTTTGCTTGCTGAAGTGCCCCGATACATACGCATATATAATATGTATATAAATATATATTTTTTGCGCTTTCTTAATCGCAAATTGGCAATTTGTCTGTGCTGGACTTTATATTGGCATTTGCATGTCATTTTGAGTCGTTGCATTTGTTTTATTTGTGCAACGTTATTGCACAAAGCTAATTACAATAATTTGCAATGAAAACAAGACAAGTTGAACCCCAGAAAACTCGCCGATCAAAGTAAACAAAAGACACAAAAACAACAACAAAAAATCTAAAGATCTAAAAAAGCTTAGCTACTTGTTTTTTGCCGGCCGGCGTCGCAGCAGCAGCGCTGTTCACGTTGCTGCTACTGCTGCTGCTGCTACTGCTGCTGCTGCTGCTGCTGCTGCTACTGCTGCTGCTGCTGCTGCTGCTGCGGCTGCTGAAGCGTTTTATTCTGAGGCAATTTTTTGTTGTTGTTATATTCAGAGCGACAGTCAGCGGAGTCGCGCGCGCGCAGCTTGACTCCAATTTGTGGCGCGTTTTGAGTGACAAATTGCCAAAAATAATAAACCAAAAATTGCAACAGAAAAAAAGTGTTTAACTAATTCTAATTCCAATTCTAATCTCAACTCAACTCATTCCACAAAGGATACGCACGTGTCGGCGAAACCAGCAAGGAAGCTGAGCGGCGACAACAGCAAAAAGAAGAAGTCAACAACGACATCTGCAACATCTGCAACACCTGCAACATCAGCAGCAACATCTCCAACAAACAAACGACGCAAACCCAAACTGCAATTGGAATATGAAATGGAATATGAAACTGAGGCTGCTCCAGCAACGAAAATACGCAATTAGTGAGGTAGAAAAGCGGAAAAAGCGCGATCGCAATTAAATTAATAACTGTTTAGAGCCTAAGTAAATTGTAAAGCGAATAAGAACCCTGAAAACAACAACACACAAATGCTGTGCAAACATTTTACTACAACACGAACTGAAGCTAGCAAAAATGGCTATATTTCACTTTCCATGGGTGTTCATGTGTGTGTGTGTGTGTGTGTGTGTGTGTGAGGATAAAAAATGGCCTGAACTTGACATTGATAGAGCGAAGTTGCTGTTGTTGTTGTTGTTGTTTAAATGTTTGTTTTCCTTTATGGCTGCAGCTAAAAACTGTAGGTGAAAAACCAGTTCTAAATGCTTACAACAATATCAAATTGCTAAGCTTGCTGAAATTACACAAAGTTGGTTGCTAATTAAACAATGTACGCATGAGTAATAGCCAAGCATATACATGTATATATATATATATATATATTTGTATATATATACGTATGTATATATTCAAGTTCAATGCAGCAATGTTGGCGTTGACGCCGACGCAGACGCTTACCAAGGCCGCTGCTGAGGCAGCTTCAACTTAGCGTTTGCTGCTGCTGCTGCTGCTGTGTCGATTGCACAATTTGTTAGTTGCTTGCTATCGAATTGATGGCCAAAGGTTCTGTTTAACTCGGACACACACTCGCTCGGTCAGCAGTGGTTGACAGGAATAATCACTTAGCAGATTTAATGGCAAAAAAACTGAAGGTGAAACAACTCATTTGAAATTTGACAAACGGCTCCATTTATCTTGCCAACCAAGTTTCCAAAAAAAAAAAAAAAAACAAATTGCCTAGCTTCGAAATATGCAATGCAAAGTAAATAATTGTTAATAATAATTGTTGAAATTTAGTAAATCAAAAAAAAAAAAAAAAAAGCAAGCAATTTTAAGCGATTTGAAAATAGGAATAGAAATGTAGTTAAAATAAATGAAATAATATATATATATATATATATGTGTGTATATAAATTTCGATATATTATATAACAGAAGTGAGCAACTTGTGAAAAATCGGAATATTGAACCTGAACGAAACAATTGGGCTAAAAATATAATTGATAGAAAAGTAAAAAATGAATACCAGTCAACGGAGGCAGTTTTCGATATTTTCGAAATGGAATATTTGCTAAGCAAATAGCACAGATTCGATATCGAAACGTACAATTTTCGGACTTGCTTGCTCAGAGTCCATCAAGTCATCAGAATCTCTAAATTAAGCGCTTGTTAAAGGTATTGTTTTATAACTCATAAATATATGCATATATATATATATATATCGAGTGAATCCATAGTTGGTTCGGATATTATCACAAATGGATATATTTTTTGAAATGCAAGTTGTAGTTGGGACCGGGACCCCGCCAGTAAATGGAATAAACACGCTGCAGTTATCTGTATATATATACATACATTATTATTATTATCGTTAAATACAAAAAAATGATGTTTTCATTTCTCGTTTTGTGGATCATTCGAACGCCTACAAAACAAATACAGTCGCTTTTTCCATAAGGAAAACACTAATGTAAAAGTAAAAAAAAAAAAAACCACATGCTTCATGCATTTCGAGTTAGATGATCCTTAGCTGATTTGCTAGAATGTGGCAGCAGCAAGCTTAATTAATTTGTACAAAATTAATCAATGACCGCCTGCTCTCTTCTCTTCTCTTCCCTCTCTCTCTCGCTGTCTCGCTCTTTCGTTAGTATTAGTAACAATTATTTTGGGTTTTGTTTTGTTGCTGCTGCTTCTGGTGTTGTTTTGTTTTTTTTTTTTTGTTTTTGATATTTGGTAAGGGTTTTAATTAGGGGGTTTTTTAGGCATTTGGACTGAAGGCCGCCTGGCGCAGGAGAACATAAATCTTCTCCTTGATCCAGTCCTTGTTGTAGGGCGCATATGTGTTGGTGCTCTTCTGATAGACCAAGCAGCTAATATCCATGAGCGTATCGATGAAATCAAACAGCTGACTGATATCATACGTGATCGTTGGTGTGTTCGGATTGCGCCTCTTCAAATGCTCCTCGTAAATCTTGCACACGCCCTCCATGCACTCGTTGACGCTCTCGTAATCGCAATATGTTCGCGTCACCGGACGAGCGCCCGGCTGAACTAACAGAATCGTATGCGACATATCTCAGCTAGCTCTCGCTCTCTCTTTCTCGCTGTAAAATCTGGCAAGGAGAAAACAAATAGAAAAAGGAAAAGAAGAAGCACAGTTATGTTTAGAATTTGCTTTGATAAATGCACTCACCAGAAATGTTATTGGCTGTTGTGCTGCAGCTGCTGCTGCTATTGTTGTTGCTGGTGTTGCTGTTCTTGCTGTTGTTTCCGAGACTGAGCCAAGTGTTTTGGATACGCTGCTGCGACAGTGGCACGAATGCTGCAAATTTGTACATGCAATGCATAATTAATTAATTAAATAATTAGGCAAATTGAACGCAAAAAATTCGGTATAATTTTCAATTTTCATCAAGCTATTTTAATTCTCTCTCGCTCCGTTTCTTTCTGTCTCTCTCTGTCTCGTTTGATGCTGCCATTATTTTTGCCGCCAGGCAGCAAAAAATAAAACACACACACATACATAAATATGTATAAAAATGAAGCGGACGCTTAGCGACAGCAGTGCATTTTGCTTAGATAAACGCAATACTGCCGTAATTAACTAAACACTTACCTATTTATTTGTAACATAAAAACGTTTACTTAAAGTTTGTATGCTTTTAAATGTTACAAACACATTTTCCGTAGCTTGGTTGGTCTCTGCTGCTTCTTCTTTGCACACATGCAGTGTTGTCAAGTGGCCGGTGCGCCAGTGTCGTCTAATGCCGCCAATTGCGCAATCTGGCAGCACTGCCAGATGTTGTGTTAGGCGTTGCCACATCAGCGCTTGAACAGCCAGTTAGACAGCTGATTCGCACTGATCGTATCGAAATGGACCAATGCAAGCGGCAGCGCTATCAGTTGCTTAGCGTACGGGGGGCTCTGTGTGCGGCGAGCGTCGCATAAGAAAATTGGATCGTTGTTTGTGTGTGTGATTTATTGTTGTTTTCGCTGATGCTGCTGCTACTGCTGTCTGGCTGACTGGCTGTCGCAATGCTGTTGCCGCATTGGGCATTGGGCAAGTGAAATGCAAAGTGAAGGCGCAGACGCAGCCCACTGATTTTTTCACGTGCCACACAAATAATTTAATTAAGTGACAAAAACGCAAAAAAAAATAAAAATAAATAAAAAAAAAATGAATTAAACAGTACAAGAAGACGACGTAAGCACAACTTAATTGTGTTTTTGTTTTGTTTCTCCTTCTTTTCCTGGCTGCTGGCGCCGCTGCTAGCCACTAAAAATCAACGTACGCACGCGTGTTGAAGTGTTTTGTTTTGTTCTTGTTTTTTTCTCTTCTCGTTTTTAATTTGCTCTTTTATTTGTTGTTGTTGTTGTAATTGTTGTGCTGTGTGTGTGTGTGTGTTATATGTTAATATTGCTGTATTTGCTTGTGCATTGCTTTCTGCTCAATGTTCTCCGCGGGCAACGGAAAAATCAAGGTGCTGCCTCTTATCCAATTTCAAATACAATTCCAATTTGAATATTTGCACTTATTGGAGTTTTCTATTGTTGTTGTTGTTGTTTTTTTTTTTTTGTTTTGTTTGTTTGTTGCAGTTGCCGCCACATGATACGGAGGCGGCCGCCTCATCGACGCTGCGCTGCCTCCTGAATGGCCCATTTCGGGATCTGCACTTTAATGTCAACGATCATCGGCTTATTCCCGTCCACGATGTCGTCTTCCTCGACGACATTGAGCGTAGCGTGAAGCCGCTCATTTACAGGCCAGTCCTCGCCGAGGCGACGCTGACGTCGACGTCGGCGTTGACATCATCGCTAAAGTCAGCTGATGGCAGGTGAGTGTTGATTTTGACCTTGAACTGCATCTCTCTCTCTCTCGCTCCTTCTCGCTATCTCCGTCTCTCTCTTTATTTTGTATACTTTACACACATCAATTCATTCATTTGCAGAATTTGCAGTTGAGCTACAAAAGCAGCTGACATTTTTTTGATTATGTTATTATTATTTAAGTTCGATTATTATTAATATTATTATTAAGACTACAGTCGCTCTCGGGCAATTAATGCTTGTTTTATATTTTATTATTTATTGCTGGATTAATACAACAAAACTTGAGCACATTTCAATTGTTTTTTTTTTTATTATTCCGCTGAGGTTAGTTAACTTTAGTACATAAATTAATAGTTCGTTGCACCTTAATCGATGATGAATACATATTTATACATAAATATATTTATATACAGCACTTCAAATTGTTTTCTTATCAACGACACATTTGTTTCCGTTTTAAGTTTGGAATATTCGAATTACCGGTTCAGTCCAGAAATCACAGAAATTACGCTAAAACCCACTGGCCTTGTCGCCAGGCACTAATTAGTCATGTTTTACGACTGCTTAAGCGTTGTCTGTCACTCGCTCAGCGATAAGAACGTGGCCGAATACACAAGCTGCTAACATCGCTTATCATCATCATCATCGTCATCATCATCATCATCATCGTCGTCATGGTGATCATCGTCAGCAATGCGACGTCATCATATTTTTGAATTACGTATGATTTATGTGTATAATTTTACATCCTCTTTGTCTATTTGTTCTTGTTGCGTGTTGCATGACTGAGCGCAGCTGGGGGGCGACTCGAGTGCTCTTCTAAATGTGTATTTATAAAAACAATCAGCAAGTGTGACGCGCATCTCTACATATATCTACATATATCTACATATATTTGCATGGCATGACTAAGCATATTATATATATTTTATTGAATGCAAATCTTTGTAGTCTCCTCTCTCTCTCTCTCTCTCTCTCTCTCTCTCTCTCTCTCTCTCTCTCTCTCTCTCTCTCTCTCTCTCTCTCTCTCTCTCTCTCTCTCTCTCTCTGTCTCTCTCTCTCACTGTCTCTGTCTCTCTCTCTCTCTTTCTCTCTCTTTCTCTCTCTCTCTCTCTCACTCTCTCTCTCTGTCTCTCTCTCTCCTATCACTTTCTTTTATTTATCTGTACTGTCTGTCTGTCCTATTTCTCTTCTACCTTTCTCCTCTCCCTCACCTATTTCTCTACCTTATCTCCTTCTCGCCTATATCTCTCTCCCATATATCCCTTATATCTCTTCTCTTTCTCAGTCCACTATTCACCTCTCTTTTTCTAGCATCCTCCCAATCCACCTCTATTTTTCCATCCCTGCTTTCCCTTTATTTCTACACGACTCTTTTCAAGTCCAACTTGAATCAGTCTTCATCTATAATCCCATAAAGAATGAGAGATCGATTCTGCTAGTGATGCTGATCGATTTGGGATCGGCGATGCACAAATGCATTTATTTCTTTATAAATAAACATAAAAAGGCTTTGCTTGATTTAGTCTTGCTAAAAACCCAAACTAAATGGTAACAATAACAAAAGGGCGAGGGGAAATGGGGGGGGGGCATTATTGCATTATTAGATACATAACGATAAAATGATAATACCCTCTGCAGCAAGAAGAAGAGGCGAAGAAAACAAGCAATTTCAACTGCGCCTTGGCATTGAAATGGCTCATTAAATGTGCGCGTTCTGCCTTTGTGTGTTGGCTCAGCTCATTTCAAATTTTATGGTTCTCTTGTCGCTTGCCCCGGCTACCGGAAGCGATGCCAAAGCGGCTGGCTGTCGGCTGTCGACCAGCCGACCAGCCAATAATTGATAATCATATTTTGCTGCTGCTGTTTTTGCAAAAAAATAGCCGCCTTATAAGCTACCAGCGACGAGCACGCTCGCTGCCAGCTTCAAAAAATCAATAAAACAAAATGAGAATGATCCATTCAAGTGTTCTCGACTTAGTATTGCTTATGGGCAACTTAATGTGCTCTTATGCAATAGTTTCAATAACAATAACAAAAACAATAACAAAAACATTAACAGAACAGATGTTTTAGGTCTGCTGATTAGCCTGTTATTCATATAAACAACAATAATATAACCAAAAACGAATTCAGTAAAGAATTCAGAATTCAAAATTGTGATAAGGACTCCGGTGAAATGGGTAAAAATTGTTATAATGAATGTAAAGCAGATCCAACTATATAAGATATGTATTCATTCCTGATCAGCATCAATAGCCCAGTCTGTCTGAGCAAATGGATCTCAAAGACTGTAAGAGTTCCCAGAGAGACTTCAAATTTGGAATATGAGTTTCTCGTACTCCCGTTTGAGCACAGGTCCATTCATATAAATAAGTCATTAAGTAAATAATAAAGTTTTTGGATTAATCAATTATGATTCTGACTACTATGCTGACCTTCAATCAGTTACGATTCCGATTGCGCTTCCGATTCTGGAAATTAGACATATAATATTAAAGCATTTTACCCAGTGATAAATCGCAAATTGGTATAAAATGTTTAAGTGTAAATCTCACTGCTTGTCTCACAAAATGTTTTGATGAGAAGCAGCCTTTAAACAAAAAATATATAAATAAAATGGGAGACGAGTTGTTGTCTTTACGGAAATGGCACGTTTATGTTGTGAACTTCATATTCGAAATGAATTTTGAGTGTTAAGCTATTTGTCGGCTTTGGCTTTGGCTTTGGCAAATGTTGTCAAATAACTTTTTGGCAGCAGCTGCCACACGCTGGGGCTTCGCGCAGCAGTCGAGCTGCCTTTTCTGCAGCCACTTTCAATGGCCGCGAAACAATGTCGCCCCCAAAAATCGCTGACCCCATTTAAATGTGTTGGCCACTAATTGAATTAGCTGCTGCTACTGCAGAAAACCAAAAAAGAAAGAAAACAAAATCACCTGGCGGCCTTTTTGAAGCCCCACCAAGTTAAGCGGCCAGTTTGGTCGCTTGCTGCCAACTGGCGACGCACTCGCAGCGCCAATTGCAGTTGTGGATGCGTTCGGTGCAAGTCTTCTGTGTCGTGTTCAATTTGAATTTAGACTGGATTCGGTTTGGTTTGGTTGCGTTGCGTTCTTGGTTCGGTCGAGTCGCTAATAACGATAAACGCTATTTTTTGTTCTTGTTGTTGTTGTTGTTGTTTTTGTGAACGATCAAGTGTGCTCTGCTCTGCTCTGCTCTATTCTGTTGTTGTGGTTTGTGTGACATACATAGTCAACTATGCCGGAGCGCAGCATTAGCCAACGTGATCTCGACGAGATTGAGATCGAAAGTGATGAGGAGGATGATGAGCTGGAGCAGGGTGTCGGCCTCCAAGTGCGTCGCGGCGGTGGTTCACCGGACAACAATAGGAGACGACGCATTGGTAATGCCAATGCTGCTGGCCATGGTCGGAGCAGCAGCAACAGCAATGACCACACCAGTCGCGACCATAGTCGCGAACGGGAACGGGAACGTTTCGGTAGTGGCAATGCCGCCCAGGAGGCCAGATACTATGACGATGACGATGAGCGGCGGGAAAGAGGCGACTACGATGACAGCGACGACGAAGATGACATTGAAATGTTAGATTAGTAAGTGGCCTGAGCTATGTTTTTTTGTTTTTTTTTTCTAATTTAATTAGCCTCACCATGTGGCTTATGTTTATGTCTGTGTTTCTTTCCTTCATTCTTTCCCTCTTCCAAATTTTGTATATTATGCAGGACATTTCTTAATTTATCTATATACAAATATATATATATATTTTATGCACTTTTCAAAAATGTTCATTTATGAGAAGCGTGAAGAAAAACATTAGATTCTTGATTGCCTTATCTACTTTTGCATGTTTTGCTGGTTTTTCAGTCACCACCCACTATTTTCTCCTCCTCCCAACCACGCTCATTGCCATTAGCCTTCTGTGCGGCATTTTCTTGGTTTTTTTTTGGGTCTTTTCCGCGCGCTCATTTCAATTAAAAATATTCTTAAATGGATTTTGTTAATTCCAGCAGTGCAAAGGTAGTTTTTTTCTTCTTGTTTACATCTTATTCATAGCGTTCTGTTTATGGTTTTAAGATTAGCTGGATTAGCAGTTTTCGTTTCATTTCTTTTGAGACTAGACCAAAATTTAATTTCAAGTAACATGAATAGTTTATTTATGAATTTAACAACGAGCCTGTTCAAAAATCATCAATAAAAAATGTTATTTAGCTATTTAATAAAGGTAACTTGAAAAGTATTATAACTTGTGGTTTATATTTATTCAGAGTTTTGTATTTAATACAGAATATATGTCCGCTTCGTGCGACTTATACTACGCGATTCAAGCGACCAAAAGCGACTGACTCTTACTTCATGTAAGTAGCTTAAACATAGCATCGAAGAAGATCTTGATCGTAAGGAACTGACAATTACCGTTGCCCGCAGGCAACAACAGACTAAGACTACAAAATGGGAATGCAAGACAAGGCAAATACAGTTATTTCCAACAAAAAGAATGCGAGCAACACGAAATTCACCTCATGAATTTTAATCAGTTTTCAGTAGAATTGTTCGCCTAGGCGCTATTTATGATTGAGTTGAAAACTCTGCAGTAGCTGCTGTAATTAACTCAACTCTTTACTAATTACGTAGTTTTCAATCGATTCGCAATTTTTTATTATTTTTTTTAATCATCATCATCATCGGGGTAAGGATCAAAGCGTTAAGCAGGCGTCCTTCTGCAGCCATGCTAATTGGTCTCACAGCTTTGCGGTTAGTAGAAAAATAATCACACTCGAAATTATTATTTATGTGTTATGTGTTCATGTGTTGGATGTTTAGCTGGAGCATTCACAATTTCGTGTTTGATCTCAAAAAGCCAGCCGACAGCCAACCACTAACCGTTAACGCAAATGATGCTAACATAGCCATAAGCATCCGGTCCATAAACTCCCATTTCCCATGACAGCCTTTAACATTGCTGTGGAGATGTGGAAATTCTCCAAAAACTTCCACCGTTTGAAATAACTTGCGGTTGAGCCAAAAAGTTTGATCTACTTAGAACATAGATGTGTTCATATTTATGTTGATGGTTATGCTTAGCTCGGAGCAAAACACGCATGAAATTTGTGGGGCATTGGCTAGAACCAAATACCACTTCGGCTTTTCTGAATTAAAAGATGGAGGGGGAGCGAGAGAGAGA